CAGTACTGCAAATGATGAACAGGTTGCGCCTTCCCAGCATGTCTATTTAGGGAACACTCTCCCTGAAAAGTTGTACACATGCAGAATTGTGAGTTAGGATTCAAGTTACCCTTATCTCATTGTGAGGCTTTGCAAGTCTTTATCCCCAGATGCTGTATTTTTTTCTCATTTTTTCAAAAATTTTTAGATTTTTGAACTTTTGAATGAAATCAGGATTGAATTTGATGATTTTTAGGGTATCTTCAGCTTTAAATTTTGTGTTTTTTTTTTTTTTTTTCAGAAACTGTCATTTTTTTTTCTGAATATCTAAGCACATTATAGTTCTATTTTATGGATGTGAAAGACAAGACAATTAAAAGTACCTAAGATTTTTTAATGAGAGTTTAGCTTCAACTAAAAATGGGTGTAAGTTATTCTCATTCCCACCCAGCTTTCTTTTAGATCAATCAAATACTTGGTATAATTGTCCTCAGTAGTGTAGAACAACTTTTTAATGGAAAATTTCCCATTATGTCGTCGCTAATATAGATTCAAGTTACCAAGTTTGGCATAGAAATAAGAAAGGAATTCAGTTATTAGCTTATTTTAATTCCTTGCTTTTACTAGTTCTTACCATTTGCATCTATTATAATTTGCTTTTTTCTGAGGTCATTGATAAATGGTCCGTGAATATGGCAACAGAGAATTTTTCTTTAAAGTTTGAGTCATAATGTATTAGAAATATACACAGACACCTGTGACTAACAGACGAGTGATGTGTGGGATGTCTTACCCTACTCCATAAATATCAGTTGCAGGAAAAATAAGACATTTGAAGATTAGAAGTAAAACCTAGAAGCCCGCCTAGGAGGTACTAAACAATAGAAATTACCAAAAGCCAGGCTGACACTAGAAATTAGCCTCATTCAGGTGCAGGGTTTCAGCATCTCTGGTATAATAAATGCATCGGCACACTTCCATAGCGATGGGGGCTTGGGGGGGGTGTCAAGTGAATATGTGCGGTTCAAGATAAAACATGAAACAAATCTTTGAAAGTTGGGCAAAAGCGCATTCAGATGCCAAAATCAGGAAAGTCTTTGACCATAATATTGAGGTAAGGAGACAGGATAGTACTGGTAAGTGAGAAAGAGTTAAGTATAAAGTTTGGGTAGCTGCATTACGTAATGATAGTGATTTCTAATCATTTTCAAGGATGTTATTATTTAATTCAGTCCCTAAAAAGGTGATTATAACAAATGATTGTTTCCTTCCATGATTCCTGAGAAAACAGAAATTAGGAAATGACTCATTTTCTTTGCAGTCAGACAGCTCTGAATATATTTACTAGCAACCACTTGTGTTACTTAACACAAATTACTTCTTTTGCCTCCATTTCCTCATTTATGAGATTTGAATAATAATCGTTATGTACCTGGAAATAATTTTTATAAATCACTTAGTGTTTGTGATATGGTAAATAACAATAAGTGCTAAATGTTGCTATTGTTTCTATGAGTGCTGCAATTTAAATAACTTAATATTCAGCAAATTTTATTTTCTACTATATTGGTATGTGTTATATCTTCTAGACTATAAGTGGGCTGGTCATGATTGTGTATTTCCACAAGCTTGCATCCAAAATGATTTATCTCATGTTAGTCTGTCTTTACTCAGAACATTTGCCGAGTATTAGGAGATTTCACATATCTTATGGTATTTCTTTTAATTTTTGACTGAAATCAATTTTTGTGTGTGCTATAAATCTACTTTTATATTTTTCTACAGTTTGTTGAAAAATATAAGCAAGTTTACAAAATAACCAAAACATCTAGAATAGTATTTTCTATGGATTTCATGTGTGTTTTCTTTTACATTGTTACCCATAGCAAAAGATCTTTCAAATAGTTGCACTTTCATAAATATACCTTTGGTCATTATCGCTAATACATTTCTTTTTCAATAGTGTTGTATAGCTTTCTGTTTCAGAATATATAGTTTAAAAAATTATGTGTGTTTTTAAGGGTATTTCTGACTTTTGCCTATAGTGTAGAATTTGATTCTTCCTTCAGATTCCCATAACAGAACATCCTTGGCATTTCCTAAACAAACTATCAAGCAGAAAATATTTTATATAATTCCAGTTAAAAAGTTCTTTTTAAAGGAAAATACTAAATAGATTTTTTAAGAGCTCTAAATCAAATTTCTGTAGTAATTCCTATTTGCACACTCCCAGTTAATGCTACATTTTGTTCTGGAGAGGTCAGAGGTAGTTCAGTTTTGTTAGCCTTTTACTAAATTGGTTTGAATGCATTTTTTTTAAATCTCTTTTTACAGTTTTTCCTAATACAGATTCCTGGTGTTGCTCCTGCCATTTCACAAGGCAAAGTTACTTGTGGCTTTCTAATCTCCTCTTAAGCTTAATGTAATTTCTTTAACACTAGAAGATAGAGACGAAAATTTATCAATGTTTAAATTGTGTACATGGTCTTAGTGTGAAAAAGAAAATGTGGGCTTCAGAGCCAGATAGAGGTTTCAGATTGAGGGATCCGCCCTTTGTAGCCATGTGACTTTTGGGCATATTATATAATTTATATATACCTCTTATAAGCTCTCATCTGTAAAAGAGTATTAAAATGATTCCCATCTCATAGAACTGTTTTGATTTTTTTAAAGACATTTTATTTATGCTTACAGAACTGGGATATAGGCCAGAAGTGCAGGGGTGGTAAGAGGATTCACCAGAGACAGAAGGGGGAGCAGAACAGGCAAATCTACTGAAGTACACTGCTGAGGGGAGCAACAGGTGGGTCAGGAGAGGTCTGCCTCGCCTTGTGTGTTAGCTTCCTGGTGTGGGGTTGAACTGGTGCTGCAGTAGCTTCTGAGAGCTTCATAATGTGGTGCTTTAACCCATTGCGCCTCCAGGGAGAGCCTCAAATTGTTTTGATTTTTAATTAAAAGTTTCTAGCACATAAAGGATGATCAGAAATGAAAAATATTTCTAGGGGATAGGTTTGTTTTTTAAGTATTTTATTTATGCATACTAGAACTGGGGTGTAGGCCAGAGGTGCAGGAAATGAGAAGATTCACCAGAGACAGTGGGGAGCAGAACAGCAGATCTACTGAAAGACACTGCTGAGGGAGGAGACAGGAGAAGTCTTCTGTACCATGAGTTTGATCTCTGGCTGGGATCAAACTCATGCCGCAATGACTGGCCATTGCTTGATACTGCTGAGAATTTAATTAAATCCTGTGCAGCCAGAGAGGCCCCTTTAGGAAATAGGTTTTAATAAAGAAGGTAGATTGTTGAGAAACAGCAAAGTCCATCCTACCCCATACACAATAAGTAATTTAGCATCTTTTATCAGTATACATTGAAAAAGCTATAAATTTTTGTTCATATGTTGGTATTATTTTACATGAACTCCAGTACTTTGCTATGTAATCATAAACTTTGCTAATATAGGCAGCTGATTAGTTGCTAAATGGATTGTAGTGATTTAATACTCATCTTACTCAAAATAAAGGACTCTAGCCACTAGTTCAAAGTGAAAGCATATCAGGCCGAGCTTTAAACAGAGATGATATAGCAGATATTTGGTTAAGTTCTGTATCTTGCTTAGTTATTTTGACATCTACTTGTTTATCTTACATAAACTGATGTAAAACATCTGGAATTTGGGAATTAAAGTCATGCTCCTTTTTTCTTTAAAAAAAGTATGAACCTATTTTTCTTCATGGAATACTTATTACTAATACTGAAATAATGATCATTGTTCACTGTTTTCTGTATACTTAAAAAAAGTAGATTTGAGAATGGCATCCATGAGTTATGCCCACTGTGCTTTTATGGCAGGAGTAATATCATGGCTCTTCATTTAGTTTTAAATGAGCATAATTGTGGCAGCGCTCCTCCTCAGACTGCCCGTCTATGTCTGTATAGGCACCCCTTTTAACAAACCTGTCCTTTTTAAATGAAGCTCTCTCTGCCCAGTTGTATTTCTGCAAACTTATTTTCTCCTTTCCTTTTTTTCCTAAACCTAGCCTTCTGGTATAGAAATAAACAAATAAATGCTCACAATTTTGGACCCTCCCTGGTGGTGCAGGGGTTAAAGCACAGCACAAAGAAGCTAAAGCCACTTCTGCATGAGTTCAATTCCCGCTTGCCCCGGAGGTGACCACGTGGCGTGGCAGACATCTCCTGACCCGCCCGCTGCTCCCCTCAGCAGTGTACTTCGTCGATCTCCCCGTTCTGTTCCCCACTCTGTCTCTAGTGAAGCCTCTCGCCACCCCTGTGCCTCTGGCCTGTACCCCAGTTCTGTGTGCACAAATAAATAAATCTTTAAAAACAAAATGCTCACAATTTTAATTGCTGGACATGTTACATAAGTGCCTTCTATTCCAGATTACTAGGAAAATCTTAGTATTCCCCCTCTTACTGTTTCTGTTAAGGTCTAGAGATATCTAAATTTTCAGGTCAGTTACGAACAGAAGGTAAGTAGATGAATCAAAATTGGGGGCAGTATTAAATTCATATATTATTATTTTATGGCAAAAATACTTTTTATCATTTTTTACTAAATAAGAAAATTATTTCATTTAAAATACCACACATAGGCCAGGTGCAGCTTACCTCTTGGCACATCCACATCCTAAAGCTCTCAGGAGAGAATGGTTTAAAAACTTGTTTTCATGTCTAGAATATAAGTAAAATCAGTTGTCATAGTGAGTTGCAAAATGTAGACCTTCAATCTGAAGCTGCCTGTTTCTCATTTGGATCTGACATATTAAAAAGCATATAATTAATGGTTGACATTAGTAATTAACATTAACTTTATGGTGCTTAATATGCCATCATTCATCCATCAAGTAACCAGAAATGCAGAATGTCATGGCATAAAGGTTTTAATTATATAAAATGGCCCTTCAGTTTTTATATGGTATAAACACTAAAAACCCCAGATGTATTCAAACATTTTTGTAAGCATTTGTTAGGTGTTAGCTATATTTTTATTTCTTTTCAGGAGTATGCATCAACAATTGTGTCAAGAACTTCAAAGGGCGAATGGAAACCTGATTGTACAGTCTTCATTATCAGCTAAAGAGCGCCACCTTGCTGCAGCTGCCAGTGCCCTGTGGAAACATTTCTTTTCATTTTTGAAGAGTCAGAGAATGTCACAGATTGTACCGCTCTCACAACTTGCAGATGCAGCGGCTGGTCAGTGTTGTTAATTTGCTAAATAGGTTCTCCCTTTGCAAAATCCATTATTTTTTTCTTGTGTTTGCTTCTTAACAGACTGTTATTTTGACAACCAAGTTTAGGAATTACATATTTTTAAATTAGGCTCCTTCAATTTGTTTATCATTTTCCTCTCAGTAAAGGTAAAAATTGCGTGATGTTTTGTTAAAAAGAAATAATTTTTAATATATTAAGTGCTTCCTATGAATGCAATATTGGGAAATTTGATAGTTTCTGGTCAAGTAGTTTATTTTCAAATTGTATGTGCAGATATCTAGATATAAAATTAAACTACTTATATAAAAAACAAAGAGTATAGCATGAATTCTGTTTCAAAAACTTTTAAAATCAGAATATGTTTAACATATAGAATGCTTTTTTCCTGACTTCTGGATTTTATTTTAGGTTGCAGTTTTTTGCTTAACTTGATTATTAATCTATGAACATATCCTTAACAAAAAGCCAGTAGCATTCTCAAGGGAACATTTTACCCAGTATATGGTTAGATATACTGGAATAGACAAAGCAATATGGTGAATGCGTGTTTTTAAATGCAATTTATATGAAGGGATTTAATGTATTTAAATGTAATAGTTTTAAAAACTTAACCTCTAACCATGGTTATTTTACCATGGTTTAAGTGAGGAAAGCTGAGATAAAAGCACTACATAAAAGACTGAGGAATTCAAAGATCTTGAATTCTGGTAGCACTTCCATAATTAAGACTTCTACAATGATAGATTGAAGAATTGTGACACAGCAATGGTTTTCCAACTACTATAATGTCTATGAAGATAAATATTGATATTCAGTCAACTTAACCAAAGCAGTCATTACTAGCTGATATGACTTATCTTTCTTCCATTCATCATTTCAACTCCCAGTCACTGAACAAAATGATATTGTAAAAGTTTAGTCATTGTCCTAAGTGCTGAAAGTAAATGGTATATTTAAAGCAAACTGTGTGTGAGTATGTTGTACATTTTGCACTACAGGCTTGATGGTTGGAAGGGAAAAATTTCCTGCATTAAAAAAGTCATTGCATACCCACTTTTATTGCCATTAGGGATGTGCCAGGTAGGAGCGGGGCAGCAGAAAACTACAATTTTTCTTCTTACGTATGTGCTTCATGTTCTCATGGAATTTATTGTGTGATGTGGGGAAAGGATAATAAATACATGCATAAAATGTGTAACATGTTAGATGGTGTTAAGTGTTTTGGAGAAAAGCAAATATATAGAAGGGAATAGGGAATGTCAGGGGCAGGTTGTAATTTTAAATGGAACTATCAGCTATTAGGAAAGCCTGAGCAAAGAGAGCCCAATGCTGAGCAGAAATCAAGACCAGAGCATATCTGGTGTCTTTAAGGAACACTAGGGAAACCATTAAAGGTTATGTAAAGTAGGAAAAAGAGAATAGTGAGAAATGTGACCAAATGTGAGAGCTAGTTTGTGTTCTGCCTTATATACAATTTTAAAGAAGTTTGATTTTGTAGAGACAAGTTGGAAAGTTTTGAGCAGAGGAATTCCGTCTGCTGCTATACTGAGAATAGGAAATAAGGAGGCCATGAGGAAAACAGTGTGCCAGTTAGGCAACTGTTACATCCCTCCAGTAATGTGCAGCTTGGGTCAAGGTGGTAAGAAATGGTTAGATTACATATCGGAAGGTAAAGAAAGCATTTTGAAGGTAGAGGAGGTAAATTTTTCTAATTGGGTATAGATAGTAAGCAAAATAAAGTATTCCCCACTTTCTGAATAAGGAAGACTGTGACAGATGTGATTTTATAGCAGAAAACTAAGATTGTATTGTTGAATTTTTTTTTTAGATATGCATCAAAATCCACTTAAAGATGTTAGTCTTGCATAATAAGATAGGGATTCAGGGAAAAGGTCTAACCTAGAGATTTAAATTTGGAAACTATACTATATAGTCTTTATTAAAGCAATAAACTGAATGAGACTACAATAGTCAGTATTGGTGGAAGAGAAAAGCTTTGAGTACTAGTCTCTAGGATATTCACAGGCTCAGATTTCTAAGATAAAGAGGAATCATAAAAGATTATAGAGGAGTATCCATGAGGTAAGAAGGAATCAAAGAAATCATGGAACCTTAGCAGTAAATGAAAGAGTATTTCAAGGAAGAAGCCTGATCCGTAGCTAGCCTGCTATTATGGGTAAAGTAAAAGTCCTGAAAGTTAGTCATTGTTTTTAATAAGCAGGGTAAAGGGTAGGAGTTAGTCATTGATGATCCTGAAAAGCAGTTTTAGCGTAATAATAGCTGAAAAGACCTGATTAAGATGAGTCAAGAGAAAATGTGAGAAGGAATTGCAGTCTACAGATGGAGATTGATCTTTTTTGAGTTTCAAATAAAAGTTGGGATGGTAGCTGAGTGGGGAGTGAAGTTAGAGATTTTCTATTAATAATTTGAAGATATTTTAGCATATTTACAATATTAGCAGGTATGTTCTAGAGTGAGGGAAAATAAGGATGCAACAGCATCACCTGCATTTCAAGCCTTTAATGGATCCCCATAGAGGACCTGGCCTGGGGTAGGGGAAGAACAGCCACGGTAAATGCACCTGGATGGAGATCGCTGGGTAGATGAGGTGCAGCTTCTGGTAGTTCTGTCATGTTTCTTACTACTCTCTGGTGTAGTGAGTGATTGGGTCACTTTCATTACCTGAAAGAAGATGGAGAGGAGAGATGCTGGTGGCAAGAGAAAGGAGAGAAGAGTAAAATATCAAATGAAGTAGAGAAAGGTAGTGGGAATGCCAGCTGGCTCTAAGGACCCATATAAAGTTTGTAGTCAAACTTAAAATGAGATCAGTCAGCAGGTTGTTCTCCAGCCATTTATAGTGGTACAGGTGCATATGGAGAGAAGATCTAGAGCTGGAATTAAACAGATGGGGTTTTTTCCAGGCAAGTACAACAAATCATACATAAAGTGAGGTAGTTGAAGGTGTGCACAAACGAGTATAATGGACCATGCAATCATGCTGCCTAAATGGAGGAGAAAGGCATGAAGATACAGGGGTGGAACAGGGGAAAAGGTAGAACTTCTGGAAAGAGAAGTTCCAGAAACTGATAGTGTATTGGAAGCAAAAGCATCGTGGATTGGGACAGGAGTTAGCTGTTATAATAACTGTAAGCTGCAATCTTCGAGAAATGAGCAGGGCTGAGCTAGCAGTTAGAAGCTGAATGCAGTAGGAGAGTTTGTGATTAATGTAATCTAATGATAGGAGATTCAAAGCCAGAAGTTTGAGACAGAAAGAAGGAAAATGGTCTAGAAGTAGCACCATGAACAAAGGATTCACTTTATCTGTAGGTCAAGTACAGTATGCAAGGAGTGTAAGAATAAACAGCCACCTACGGGAGCTGTACAGGAGGCAAAGCTTAATACACAGTTTATTTAGAAAAATAGATTAAAGGGCCCTCCCTGGTGGTGCAATGGGTTAAAGCACTATGAAGCAATCTGCAGCCACTGCAGCACGAGTTCGGTTCCATACCAGGGAGGTGACCTACATGACATGGTAGACCTCCTCTGACCCGCCTGCTGCTACTCCCTTGAGCAGTGGATTTCAGTACATTTGCCTGTTCCGTTCCCTACTCTGTCTCTGGTGAATCCTCTCACCCCCCACATGTCTAGCCTGTACCCCAGTTCTGTATGCATAAATAAATAAATCTTTTTAAAAAAAAAAAGATTAAAATAGTACAAATCAAGTTGGAGAAGTCCCAGAAAGTCACAGATAAAAGTATATTTGTTTAATGTGATTAAGTAAGGAATTTTACTTCTTAGACATAGTGACTTCTGAAGGAAGCAAAGTAACATTGATTGTAGATCACTATTTAAGCTAAGGAGAAGGTTCCATATCTGAGAGAGGAGTGAACTCTTACCTGTGGCAAGTAAACTAGCCTGATTGGAAAAGGGTAAATGCTAGAAATAACATTTTAAATGGGTCTTTTGAATGATAGAGAGACATTAGCAGAAACACCAGGCTTAGAATTTATAATTTATTCTAGATCTTTTCTTGGCGATCTAGATGATCTCTACAGAAATTCCTTTGACAATATGAATTTTAATTCAATTCCAGCTTTCTATTAGCCCTACATTTCTGAATGTGACATTTTGTTTTTTAGTGCTGAATTTTATTATTTACTTATTCCTGTTGATATAATTCTGAAAGGAGAAATGTTTTTAAAAATTGACTACCACAAATTTCTCTCATTTAAATCTAGACTTCACTTTGCTGGCAATGGACATGCCGAGCACAGCTCCATCAGATCTTCAACCTCAGCCAGTTATATCAATGATACAACTTTTTGGTTGGGATGATAACATCTGGCCTGAAGTTGTAGCAAGATATTTAAGTCATTTCCTACAAAACAGGTAAGTAATTTTATTTCAGGTATGCATATGTGTAAACTATAGGAAAATTAGAACTTTCACAAGTAAAAGCTTATATTTACTAGGTGTGTTCTCACTTTCACAGTTTTGCTTTTGAATGCATCCAGCATTTTGACAGTAGTAATAGTAGGAAAAATAACCAAATGTTCAGTGGCTTTAAAAATAAAAAGAAAAATACTGCTTGGTAGGACTGTTTTATTTTCCTCCTGAAATGACCTTTCTGCACTCACCATTGTGACAGACATTAAACAATTAATATTGCTGAATCTGTAAGACACTGTGATATTATAGTTTTAGATTAAACAACAACTTTCTTCCACAGCTACATTTTTAAAGATTTGACTCAGCCTCTGTGATCGTGAATAAGATACTTCAGTTCCCTACATGTTGCTTTTATTATCTGTACATATTTCCTGCCACATTGTATAAGAGATCTTAAGGAACTTCAATAGAAAAAAAAAAAATACACAGTAAATAAAGTTAAAATAGGAATAGTGTATTCAGATGATTTGAGTAAGATGTCAAGATGAGAGAAAATAAAATAAATATACAAACCTAAGAGATCACTAGCTTTCTTCTCCAAGCTATTAGGCAGTAAAAATGAAGTTAGTAAGTTTCAGGTGTGCAGCAGTAAAAATCAACATGTGTGTTATGAAAAATTAAGTTCACCACTAAGTTCAGTAAGTCATTTCTTACGGACTTTAGGTTGTAAAGTTTGTTTACTTTAAGATCCTTTCTTGATTGAACATTTGATAGTAGTAACAATCATTTTATTATTTGCTAGCCACTTTGGATAAAATTTAATTTTTTTTTGAAAATAATACAGTATGCTAATAACAGTTAAATAAATAGGTGTTATTTTGGAATTCTGTATGAAGTATGTTTAAAGATGACTGCCTGTGGGGCAGGAGAACAGAAGAGGAAGGATGGGGAAAGGCTTGTTCTGGAGACCCACATAGACATGTACTTTGCCTTTTTTCTGACATACATTGCCGTGATTGCTTACCAGGGCCACTGTTTAGTTAGATGCCATTTCTTTCACTATTATCTCACCTTGCTAGTTATAAGCCCCTTCTCACTTTTCCCATTTTAACCACATATTTTAAAGTAAGCATAAATTATTAAAAATTCACCAAAAGCAGCAGAACTGTGCAGCAAGAAGTACATTTAAGTAAAACAAGGTATCATCTGCACTGCTGACTCTGCAGGTGTACTTGTCTGATCTTGGAGAGGGGAGCTAACACTGATGTCAGTTTTGTTTTTTAAAATTTTAGTTATTTCAGGTAACTTTGATATCACTGTATATGATTCAGAAGAATAGGTTCACCCCTCAGATGGAGCATTTAACACACTCCCTTTTCCCAGGGTACCTTTTTTTTCCCTTTATCTTACATTGTTGGGCCCCCCTGCCCCACTAGTTTCCATTTTCTTCTCCTCTAGTGGCATCAATTCTGCGATCATATCTGGACTTTGTTTTCAACTATGTTTTTTTTTATTTTTACATCTTTCTTTAGCATAAGCCTATATACATACTGTAAGTAGGAAAAGGAAAATAAAAATTTGAGTATTATATGGGGGTGGAACGGGGAATGAGATCAAAAATGTGGGGGCGTGAGGGAAGTAGGTTGGATTATGGTGATGGCACACAGGTGATTTGGTGAAGGGAAGCCCACGGGGATTACAATTGAAATGGAAAAAGGCACAAAATGCTGTCAAAATAAACTATTACAGTATTAAAATAGATAAATTTTAAAAATAAAAAAATAAGATAAATGCAAATAAAAGGAAGTAGATCAAAAAAATTGAATATTATAAATGGACGAATATTTAAAACCTTTTTGTGTGTATCTGTAGTATTTATTTTCAGCAATATAAGTCTGTAAAATAGTGAGCAATGAGTTTGGGAATGTTAGAATGTTTTTCTTTATTTCAGAAAACTTAATACTCAGGGAACATATTGAAAAGGTTGTGTTGTTTTTGCTTTTATTTTTAATGCCCACCAACTTATTTTTACAGCGTGTTATGTGAAGCACTTTCTCATTCAAACTGTGTATCCTTTCAAGCCTTAACTGTAAGATCGTGGATACGCTGTATTTTGCAAATGTATGTGAAAAGCCTCAATGCTACTGATGATTTGTACATTGATATAAACCCTGAACAGGCAGTTGGTAAGTATTTTGCTTTCTATAGATAGCTAATTCTGTTTAATATTTCCTGTTTTGTTATGTTAATTAACAGAAAATTTATTTGAATCAAAACAGAAGTTTGCTCCCTTTTTAGCTTCTTTTTTCTTGATATTTTTTTGCTACTGTATATATAACAGGTCTGTCTTCTATAAAGGAAAAACTAGCACCAAAACTTACTTTCAAATGACAGGCTTTTTTTTTTTTTTTTTTTACCTTGAAGTAACTGATCATTGTTAAAGGTGAAAATGATTACTAAGAACTAGATATCATTCTGTGAACATTCTAAAAATAAAAATAGCCAATTAAAAGTGACTTTTCCCCCTAATTTTATGTTATTCTGCCTTTCTCTGCTCTATTAGTCCCTGAATGATACTTGTACTTTATTTATTTATTTATTCATTCATTCATACTGAACTGGGGTACTAGCCAGAGGTGCAGGGGTGGTGAGAGTCTTCACCAGAGACAGAGTGCGGCAGATCGACGAAGTACACTGCTGAGGGGAGCAGCAGGCAGGTCAGGAGAGGTCTGCTACATCACATGGATCACCAGGGCAGGCAGGGCTAGAACTCACTGGAGCAGCTGCAGCCAGCTTGTAATGCTGCGTCCTAACCTGTTGTGCCACCAGAGAGGGCCTTTTTTTTAATTTCTCTTAGAGTCTGGTGTTCTATAGAATATGACTTTTTCTAAACCTATTGTTTATGTCCACGTACAAATCACACAAAATCTATACTGAAAAAATGCTTCAGATATTTTTGATACATAGTCGTATCAATTGACTTTACCTGCATAGTTAGCATGTATACTTTTGCATCTAGCATGTTCACAAGAAAGGTTTGTTTTTAAGTAAAATCCTTACTTAGTGGAAAAAATATTTCAAAATTTTTAATTATGTGGAAATTTGAATTTTAAAAGAAAAGCATGTCATAAATAATATTATATTCCCTGTTCTCTCATCTGTGTGTGTGTGTGAAACAAACACATATTATTTTAACAGAGAAAGACTATGTGGATCAACTGACTGAACTGACAAGGTTGCTATTTAAACTCTCAGAAGTAAAGAATATTTTCTCAAAATCTCAAGTTGAATGTTTATCCATACCAGAAGACCCTCAAAAAGCACTTGCTCTATTCTTTGAGGTAATTCTCATTTGTTAATATAATTTTCCAGATCACTTACACTTATTTTTCAAAAAAATCTTGAGTTTTGATAAGTTTTTCGATCATACGAATTCTTTTAAATTGAATTATATTATTGATTGCCTGTGACTGTAAAATTCTGAAAGAATAAAATGGTTACTCTAAACTCCAGTACAATTTACTCTTAAGACAACAGAATAATTTCATTTAATGAAAAATGGTAAGAATAAAACATGCTACATAAAAGCCTTTCAGGTTTACCTAAATTGTAATTTTATCTTATTGTTGAAATTGCTAGATAACAAAATTCCTGAATTACTTGAGAACTAAATTTGCTTGTACATGGTCCATAATAGTTTCAAGTTAATGTTACCACCTTGTAGCAAACTATGGCTATTACAATAAAGTTTTAGTCCATTCAGCGTAAGAACCAACTATTTCATATCATACTATAACTTATGAACTTAAAATCCAATCTATTTGTTTTGCTCCATAATTATAGTCTTATTCAGCATTGATTTTTAATTATTATTTTTGTGAGAAATCTATCTTGTGAGCATAACTGAAGTTATTATTGTGTTTGAACTAGTGTTTTTGTAAGCTACTCCTACTTAAAAGTTCTTTTATTTTCCCCACAAAGTCAATGGTATTAACAACAGTAAAAGTATTTCCAACCACGAAGCTCTTTTTGTAAATGTGAACTTTCATTAAAGACAACTGTATGACATAGATGTCACATAAATCCTAATAATAATAATAGTTGTAAAATGCACATTTCTGTTGAGTCTTTCGCTCAGTTGTTTGGATCTCAACCTGTGATGAATTAGATATTTGTGATATGCTGGGAGTCATATTGGACAAGAAAGGAAAGTAGAATCACAACTCTAATATAATCCAGTCCAAATTAATCACTCTTTCATCACTCAGTAAATAATAGTTGTTTGCCAAATGCTATATTGTATTATGCTAGTATTTCTTAGGGAATGGAAAAATCATAAAAGTAGTACATGATCTTAGGTTACTTTTACTTGTCTAAGAATATACAGTATACATAGGGTTATATATACTTGTGCCAATTAGTTGATTAATCATAGGTTAAAAATTCAGAGCACCTCAGCATAAAAAGTTTGGATTTTATCTTGTAAACAGTGTGGAGGCTTTTTACATTTTTAAGTAGTTCTGATTTGATCAAATTAATTACCAGGGATAATTTATCCTCAGCCTTCATTTCAAAGCTTTGCTAATAGTTTTTCAGTATTGCTCTGCTCTTCTACTTCATCTACCTTCTCCCATGACTAAACCTTAGCCTGGAATAAGCTGGAACACCTAAGAATCTTTGGCTATTGCCACCTCCATATGACCTTGTACTCCTTCAAGCACAACTTCACTTAAGTTCTCATTTCCTTTCTTTCTACCTTAATTAGACTTCTGTGGCGACTCATTTCAAATATTATCACTAGTGTTTTCACAGTCTTCCATATTTTATCCTTTGGTTGGACTTCAACCAACATTAGTACAACCATTTGTTTTCTTTTTTTTTCTTACCTGCTGAGACCTGCAGAGAAAAATCACTTACTTACACATATTAGTATCGTTTATGGTCAGTTTCAGTCATTGCAATCCAGTTCATGTTCCCAATAAAGAAAACTTTTTCTCTTCTCAAATCTTCTTGTGATTCTTTTTCGATTTGTCAGCTCTTGCCTAGTCTCACCATTGCTCAGCTTACTCTCATTTATTTCCTTTCTTCTTCATCCCATTTCATTCTTCTTTTATTCGCTTGTCTCACGTTTTTCTTTTAGGATTTTATTTATTTATGCATACATATTTGGAGTACAGGCCAGAGGTGCAAGGACAGTGAGAAATTTCACCAGAGACAGAGTGAGAAGCAGAACAGGCAGATTGATAGAGTGCACTGCTGAGGAGAGCAGTGCCGATCAGGAGAGGTCTGCTGTGCCATGTGGAGCGAGGGGCGAGGCATAGAACTGGCACTTAAGCACCAGCTTCGTGATGCAGTGCCACGCAGAGGGCGCGCCTCACATTCTCTCTTACCACCTCCTCATTCTGCCCTCTCTACCCTTTGTGCCTCATTGCACTTTCCTCTCAGAAAGTTTACTGGCATCTAGTAGCTCATAATACTCATAGTGAAAATTTTCTAGGAAAAAAAAAATCATCCCACAAAGCTGAACTTTAGTAATGGAGACCTTACTTGTAAGAATGCGGTAACCATACTTGTAGGCATTTCTTGAGGAATGGCAAATTTGGAATTCCCAATTGTATACAAGAAATGTGATGAGACAGTCTGTTTGAAAATCATGTGATTTGGTTATAAGATTCTTGTATATCAGTAATTTCCATGTATGTTTTCATAATATTTTACTGAATCTATAAATAATTACGGATGAAATTATTTTGTATTCTTCATTTAACTTATACTAAATTATAAAGTGCAAGTTTTAATTCTTTTTACTAACATGTAATTGCTGTGACATACATTGGAAAATTAAGAATGAAGTGTAAGAAGTGTATGTGTGTAGAGAAAGAGAAGTATTTACTACTTTATTTTCCAAAGTCTATATTGTATAAACCTTTGAAAGCTAAATCATGTTTTCTGTCATTTATAGGCTGTTGGTGTAACTTACAGTAATCTGCAGACACTTTCTGATAAATCTGCCATGGTCACAAAGTCTTTAGAATATCTTGGTGAAATACTAAAATATATAAAACCTTATTTGGGGAAAAAGATTTCCAGTGCAGGACTGCAGCTGACTTACAGGATGATGGGTATGTATTCCTGACATTAAAATTTCCTTAGGTTGAACATGTATGCTCATGGTGGATGGGAATATACTAATACTCTGGCTAAATCTCTATTTTCTTTATAATCAGAATAATCTGAAAGACAGTAATTTTGTTTAAAATAATTCATGTTGGCTTTCAGTGAATCTGTCATACTCCACCTCCTGTCTTGACTTTTCTGGCTATGCTTGTATTGCTATAAAATTAATATTCAATACAGAAAATAGACCAACAACAATTTGATGTCAGTAGTCTGTTTTGGATCATTTATATTGTAAATATTAGATAATTAAAATATTTTTTAATATTTATCCATATGTTATTAGAATTTAAAACATAAGAAAACTATGACTTAAATCTTTTTTGTCTTTTCTATGTGAAGGAGGTCAGAAAGGATTCATTACAGTACTAAAGATATTTATGCTTCAAATCTTGTTTCTCACAGTACTATGCTTTCTACTTTCAAAAAGCAGTCTTTTACTCTGTTTTGTAATGACAGAGTTCGTCCCTCTTAGAGTTCATCCTTCTTAGGAAGTCAATCCTTCAGTAATTTGAATATCTTTGTTCATTAAAACCATGCTGCAAACAAAAATCAGGAATTGCATAAAAGGAAGTGAGAAGGATTTCCTTAAAAGTTTTAAATAGAATTTAAGTTTTGAGGGTTTTTTGGTCTATTTCTCTGTAGCTAAAATCTTCTATCTGTTCCTTTGATCTTGTGAACATATGAATAAACCTGATTTGGGCTGTCAGAAACTTTTTATCTTTGTTGTGAAAGATAAAGGAGAATGAGGAATTTGTAAACATGGATGATGTAGAGAATGTAGTAGAAGTGATAGTAGCAATTCATGCTTCTTACTTTCAGAGAAAAACATGAGAAAATTGATTATAAATTTAATACCATAAAATGTAGACTAACAAGTATTGTAGCTCTGATAGGCTTGTATCAAACTAGATGTATAATTTCAGGGTATTTTTCTTTAGTAAAAGATATGATAGTCTTATCAAGAACTACAAAATCATTTGGATTGGTGATATACAGACTCAATGCAAAATTCTTCTATTGTAAAGCTTGGAGCCTTTTTTGTTTTGTTTTATGGTTAAGTTTTGACTCAGTGGCAAGTAGATCTGTATTCTTTTCTTTTGTCTAGAAAGCAGAGATACAGAATAAGTAAGCTGCTACAGGATTGCCTACATGCACATTAGAAGTTAGAAATATGTAAGTGACTGTCTTCTATTAAAAGTCTAGAAAAGTGCAGAGAAAGAGAAAGTATAAACTTGGAGAGTCTGATCTTGTTTTCAGCGCATGAAGATTAGTATCATGTCAATTGGCAGGAAAGAGAACCATTGCGGTGCTTTAACATACCTTACCAGTTCTAACTGTGGCTCACTTGCCTTTTATGTTTGTAGTTGTATTTTACCCATGACCCTGCAGTTCCTAACTCAAATATCCCCACTTTTTCATACCCCAGGTGGCATGCTCTCCTTTCCTTCCTCTGCCCTCTTACAGCATTTTCTGTAGTTTGCTGTTAATTATAATTAGTTGTATTTGGCATGCCCATATTAAGTTCTAAACTGCTCATGGGTGGCCATATCTATTTTTTATTCCTCTCACCATATTGTACTTTGAACAAGAAGAATACTTACTGAGTATCTATCAGGCAGTGGGTTTGAGAATGGCAGATACATCAGTTAAAATGTAGGCAATGGTATATACTAAATAAATATTTCTGGAATTTAACATTTTCATAAACATAGCTAATAGTACAAAATATATTCTCTAATATCCCTAAGTGAGGAAAGTTACTTTCCAACTATAAATATTTCACATATACTTTTTAATGATCCTGATCCTCTTCTTTTAAAGATATACATTATACATATTGTTGAAAATAAGTACTTATAGTTTGTTCAGTTTTCTTTCCATTGTAGTTCCATACTATTTTTCTGTATCCTCTGCCTTATCAGTAAATAAATAATGTTGATTGCCCAAAGAAATACTTGCATTTTAACAAAGCTACTGTATATATTTAAACCTTTCCTGAATTGTTTTACTTTAAAAATTTGTTCTCTTTGAATTTTTTTTCTCTTTGAATTTTTAATACCACATAGTTCAGTGTTCTTTGCTTACACTTAAAAGAAAATGAGTCTTATATTTCAGTAAAACATTGTTTCTCCTCTCTATGAGCTTCATAAAATGTAAGGTCTTCAACAAAGGACTTTGATCAATGCAAGAGTAGATGATGCACTTTTGGTTGGAGGCTCCTGCTATTAATCCAAAACTTATGTGACTCCTGAGAATGAGCAGAATCATTTTAAATGTTAATGGTAATGACAGTTGCTCTTACAGGTATATTAATATTAGTTAGAATGTGAGCTCTTCTTACACCACTGTCATTTCCACCTACTGGAAAAATGAGGAGCAAGCCAACATTATTTAAAATATTGCTAAGTGAGCATTGTGTTTCTTTATGATTGATTACTATATTTTCTTTCAAACAGGAGATTGATGTTGCTATTTGTTTTTTTTTTTTTTCAGAAGTGATTATTGGTTGAGGTTTTTTGACATAAAATATACCATTTTTATAAGTATGTTTTTGTTTGCCTTCGGAACTTGAATTAAAATTTTTTGTTTAATTATAATGACTGAATTTTATAAGCTTTTTTGCTTTCTACAATGGAATAAAATATAAACGTTTATGTAGTATAATACCACTGTTGTTCTTTGCACAGCACTTAATGGGGTCCTTTTATATTCTTTTTTTTCAGTAAAGAAAACTCAATAACTATAGTATACTCTAATGGAAATTATTTATCTGTTCTTAATTACTTTGTTAAAGACAAGGTACTCATTTGTTAAGCTTTACTATCATCAAATGCAACAATTGACAGACTCCTAGCATTAAAGAAACTATAACATAGCTCATATAACAGAGAAATTTATTTCTCTTCCTTCAGTATCAAAATTAACACTGTTGACATTAAACATTGGAAAGATAAAAATTGAAGTTCAAGCCTAACTGCTCCAAGGTATTGCAGCAAATCCTTTTTTCCCTACTTTAATAATGCAGTTATATCTCTTCTTACGGCAGTTGAAACAGCCTGTAAACTTACATGTAAGGTAGAAAATTTAAAAAAATGAGGGTGTCAAGAAAATGAATGGTATAACATGATGTGGCACAGGGAAAGTTAGTAGGCATAGACAGGCCTATTGTATAATCGTAGAGTATTTTTAAATTTGCATGATAAACTTGCCTCTTCAGTTTCCTACCATCCAAAATGAAAAGGGAGATGGAATTAACATTCATTCTGTATTATATAAATAGATCGCATTGTGTGTATGTGAGTGTATATATGTTGTCAATTTCTTGGCAAATACCCAGAATGCTGAAAGAAATTTCTCTCTTTAGTGAAGTGTATGATTCAACATAGGTCTTTTGATTTCATATATTGATAATTTTTTTCCTGTTGCACACTTCAACTTGACCCCTTACCTTTAAATATAATACTTTTAGTGAAATGACAGATTTTCTCATCTTTTAAAAGATAATCATAATTACTATTACTGCTCTTCTTTGTTAGGAACGCTTGTTAAATCATGGGCACAGATCTTTGCTACCTCTAAAGCCCAAAAATTACTATTCCGGATTATAGATTGTTTATTGCTGCCACATACAGTGTTACAGCAAGAGAAGGAGCTGCCTGCACCTATGTTGACTGCAGTTCAGAAGAGTCTTCCTTTGTATCTCCAGGTAGAGTAAGAATGACTACTTAAAAGAAAAAAATATTTCAAACTTTGCCTTAATACATAGCTCACATAAGACAGATATTATGAAAGGGATATGTTTACATGTGACACTTCCATTGACTGAGTTTTCAATTCCATTGCTGTTTTGAGGGAAAGATAGAGTCCTTTAAGACGTTCAAAGTTGAGGGAGGAGATACACTGGCATGGGCACTTACAGTGGGGTGCTCAGTATTTCCCATATAAGCCTCTGCTGTCTGGTATAAGGAGATCAAAGTGAACACACTGTAGGGGATATCAGGTAAGAGAACAGAGTGTGTAGGAGTTGAAGGATAATTCCCAGCAGAGGAAACAGCATGAGCTTTAAGAAAACATGACACACTGAGAAAAGCAAGTAGTTCTGTTATAACTAGAGACTCATAGCAGAGGAACCACAAATGGAGGGCTTTATCTGCCATGCTTAGAAGTTTGGGATTGTTTTTTTTGTCACATGGAAAATATTGATGGATTTTGATGCTTATATTTTAGAAAGATGATTCTGATGGCAATTTTCAAGATAGTTGATGTAGAGATTAGATTGAAGACTTGAAGGACAGTGAGTAGCTCATTATCTAAACTTTTTGAACTATGTCATGGATACAGAATCCACCTAGCAGATTTCAAAAACAGAACGCTCTGGTCAGAAAGACTTGATGTGCAAGTATTTTCTAGATTCCAGAGGCTCTTATGTAGATAGAAATGCTGCTAACTGAAATGGAACTTTGTGGAGATGCAAGGTTAAAGATAAGAATTGATTCTTGAACAGTTTTAGTTTGAAATGCTATGGAATATTGGGGTAATGATGGCTGACAGGCTCTTAGAAACAGTACTCTGTCATTCACAAGAAAGGGTAAGACTAGAGAATGCTGTGTTACTCACTGGTGTCTGATACTGAAGGTAAATGTTTCTCAATTTTGCATGTTGCAAGGGAAGCTGAGAAAGAGGGATGAATGGATTTTGATTAGGTAACTAGCAGCCTCTCACAAATCAGTTTTGTTAGAGTTTTAAGATTTCTAAGAAAATTCAGGCTGACTCTTAATGTAATGCTCATAATAGCATTTAAAACAAAGTATAAGAATGTCCACTAGCAGAAAGGTAAAAACACAGGCCGCTAATCCCAGAGGGTCAGATAGGTAGAGGACAGTCGTGGGCAACAGGAAAATCAGGAGTGTTTGTCTCATGTGGTCTTCTTAAACCAAAATTGTGATCAACTATAAAAGCATGGGTCATTACTCATTTGGCATAAGTCACATAGAGCTATAGCCTTCATTTCTTTAGTATACTCCCCTCAGCTCTCCTTTTCAGAATTTTCCAAAGTTATCTATCACTTCATCTTCTGATTTAATAAGCTTTTCCTTAAACAGATCTTTGATGAAAGGGGGGGGGGACTTTTTTTTTTTTTTACAATTGTTTAATTACTAGTATTGTGCATCTATACTAGTATTTAATTACTAGCTTTGTGCAATTTTTCCTTTCAAATAAACTCAAAATTTCTTATTGGGCAAATAGCTAAAATAGAAATATAACAAATATTTCTAATTATTTTTCTGGAAAAACATTGTGATTCACAAAGTACCAAATTGCTAATGAACTTTTGTAACAAAATTTGTTGCTATATTGGTGATAACCTCTGTTTAGGAATATTCAGTGTTTAGTAATTCGCAGGAAAAAATATTTTTCTCAGGTTATTGTTTCCTTTGTAAATATCAAATACTGTAAACTGTATGAAAGTATTTTTTAACTTTTTTCCTCTTTTTTTAATTTTCTTTTAACTTACAGTATTTCTTGACATGAAAGATTTTTAGAATAAATTTTATAGCCCCATTAAGAAAAATGACCAGTCTAACATAAAATACTGACCTAAAAATGTAACTTACAACTTTATAATTATACATAGATACACACCTATTAACCTGTGTTATAGTCACGTTTCTGAGGTTCAGAAGAAGAAATCTTCCTTTGTTTCCTTGTATCCTTTCCCCTGCATTCTTTATCCATGCTCCAAAGACATGCATGTTTGGTTAGACACCACAGCATAGATGTTACCCAAGCTTAGCAACTTTCAAACTTCATACAAATATCATATAGTAGTAATAGATATTGTTCTTGTTGATTTTCTTAAGTTGTAAGTTCTAACGTGAATATTAATGCTGGGGACTAAATTGCTAAGTGTCTAAATGTTAGTTGTTTTGTTGTTTTTTTTTGACTTTACCTTTTAGTATGTCTTTTCTTTTTCCTCTTATAGGGTATGTGTATCGTGAGTTGTCAGTCTCAAAATCCAAATGCCTATTTGACTCAATTGCTAGGGAATGTTATTGAGCAGTATATTGGCCGATTTCTTCCAGCTTCACCACATGCTTTAGGTTTTGGACAACATCCTGTTTTGTTGGCATTGAGAAACTCAGCCACTGTTCCATTGATGTCATCCCTAAGGAAATGCATTGTACAAGTCTTAAGGTATATCTGAATATTAAAAATCAGTGGTATTTACAATGTTTTAATCTACTAAAAGGTAGCAAAGCATCTCAAAAGTATTGGCAACACATAAGTTTAGCAATTTTTTTTTTCTGTAGAAGCACTATCTGAAGAATTATTAAAATGGCTTTTGCTCCTGGTAGCCCAAGACAAAGCTCTTTAAATGGCTTCTATTTTCTCTCTATAGGTATTATTTTCTTTATATATATCTAAGGGATAAAAGTTTGATGCCTAGTTTTTAATAGATTAAGCAATAATTGTATTATATATTATATAAAATATAAAATTATATATTATATAAAATTATATAAAATTATATATTATATAAAAATGATTGTTTTATAAAATACAGTATTAAGTGTTGAAAATATGAAAAAGGGTGCAGCATGAAGTCCTATTTTGCTCATTTACTCTGTCTTAACAACCCAGTTTCATTATTAAGCATATGATTAGGTTTCCTACTAAATTCCATACATTGTACTGCACATTAGAAGCTTGAATAATTAGAAATACCTTTATTTGTTGCATATTTAGCGTCTTATAGAATTAGTATTTAAACTAAGATAATATATGATCTAAATGATTCTTATCTAGTATTTTTTCTGTTTTTAATGACTTGATAGTTTTAATGACCTGACATTATCCCAGTTCTCGTTATAGAATTCCATGTCTACAATCTATTTTCTGACTTTTTGTTTGTGTCTTAGTGTACTATCACTTGGGTTCAAAATACTATATTCTGTGTTTCCTTTGCTCTTACCCTCCTTTGACAAAGAACTCTATCCCCTTTTCAAATCTATCTTCCCATGTCACATTCTACCTATAATACTGCCACTCTCCTAACCACTTTTCTGTCTAGTCTTTTTTTTTCAGGCCTATCTAAACAATAGTCCCAATTCCTTTCTTAAAATACTTTTCCATTATCATTATTTTCTTATCCTGAAACCTTCATTTGCTCCCTTTTTTTTTTTTGTCCATGAAAATGCATTCCCTACTCCTTAGCTTTCCATAATCTATCACTTAACTTTTCCAAATGTGTTACATATAATGTCATGTACAAAATTAATAAAATGGTTTACTTACTGTCCCTCTAAAAATGCTTTAAATTTCCCTACATCAAAGCTCTGTCAACATACCTTTTCTCCATTAAAATACCATTTCTTTGGGCTAAGTTCTGCATACACTTTATAAGATGTACACTGTCTAGCTCCGCATACCATGATGCTATGATGCTTCCTTTCTTCTGAAGACATGTGCTCTATCCAATTAGCTGAATCATATTTTTTTTTTTGCTTGTATTCAATTCCCATCAAGATTGTAAAAGTACTTGTAAAAATACCACCACAGTGTTTGAGTCATTGCATATGTGAACTTTAGTACAAGCCAAATGATAAGGGCTAAAGAACAATTTTAAAAAACGTTAAAAAAGAAAAATTAAATCCTTAAGATCATACAACTGGACACCAAGTTTGGGATTCTGACTGACTGCTTTAGTTGACTTTCCTATGTACTTAGTGTACAGTGAAAGCATTTTTCACATTTCTAGTTGAAGCCAAAAATGTAACAATTCTGTTTCTTTTTCTTAAAATACTTAAGAAAGAGATTTCCTCCTGTGACTTCTTCCATTATATGGCTCTCTAGACATTCAGTACCCCTTTCAGTTAAGGCTCCTTCCTCCAAATCTCTGAGAATTATGAACCTTTTGAAGCACCTGCCATACTGTATTATGATTTTCTTTAGTTTTCCTTGCCCAGTTTTCCCACTGGATGATGAGCCCTTTGCTTTCTAAGATATTTTATTTAACATTCTTAATCTTAGACTTAGCACACCTTCGATACTCTATAGATGTTTATTCTGACCTTAGGAATCTGGCAGTGAGTAAAATAGGCAAAGTTTTACCCTCAAAGAATGAATGCCTCAAATATGTCATGTTCATTTGGAGTCTCTAATATGGAGCAGAAATGATGTTGAAGACATAGTCCCTGCCCTTAAAATTTTAATAAATCTTTAGTGATTTCTGTTCCTTGTTCAGCAAATTATTATTATATTGCAAATATATGTGGATGTCTAGCTTAGATTTAGCAGTACTTAGCAATTTTTCCATATTATTTTAGATACTGACCAATTTCTACTTCTATTTATTCACTTAACAGTGTATACTGAACACTTGTAATAAGCCAATTCTATTCTGAGAGGTAAAGATACAAACTGACTCAGCTAAATTATCTTCATTTTTTCTCTTGAGTTGTAATGCTAAAATTTGTCCACTTTGAAGGAAGATAGTAAATGCTAGATTACCTTCAACTCTTCACTTTCTAAGGGAAGGAAAGAGATAAAGCTAGAATAGGAAGCTAATTCCTAGGACAGTTTTCTTATTGATTTGGGAAAATAACACTCCTTCCAAATCCCAGAATAAATAAATGTGAGGACAGATTTCTATATGCAAATTGGCAATAAAGAAAATGTTGCATCACTGAGGAACTGATAAAGGACTTCAGGCTTATATTAGAAAGGAAAAGCATTAATTAACAAATAGATTTACATTGAGATTTTTAATAAGTTCCTTTTAAAAACAGGTTGCTTTAAATTTAGTTTGTGTCTGTGTTCTCTCTGTCTTTTATAGCACACCAGAAGGATGTGCAATCATTGTTTCTAAAATGTTATAGTTGAAGATAATAGTGTGGTAAAACATACACTTTTTAAAAAGTGTGCTTTATTAATTTGACAGTATGTAAAATTTGCCAGCATCTTCAAGTTATATGACATGTTATTCTGCATGCTGAAACTGTAAATAGAAGAAACTTTAAATTGTGCTTTTTTTCAACCAGGAAATCCTATTTTGAGTATAAAGGGACCTTGCTCCCACCTCGTTTAGCATCCATTTTGGCCTTTATCCTGCAACTGTTCAAAGAAACTAACATAAACATTGCTGATGTTGAACTTCTTCTCCCTGGTGTCTTAAAATGTTTGGTGTTGGTCAGTGAACCCCAAGGTTAGTTTGCATATGAGTTTGCATTCATTATAATTTTTATTCACAGATTAAGAAAGTACTTATTCCTGTGAGTCAAACTGATAATTATAAACATATATGATTATTTTACATTAATGTATAACACATCATGCGCACACACATGCGCGCACACTTGTCATGGATAAATACACTGTAGCAAATAGCCAAGTTTGGACAAGATAAAACATTTAAAAGTAATGTGTTTCAACCTACTTTAGTTTTATACTCTTCCCTAAGGCAAATAGTTTATAAGCTACTAAGATCTGTTAACCTCTTAAAAGAATATTAGTTAAATATCAAGTGGTGAGAGACATTATAGTAAAAATGCTGAAAGCCATAAACAAGGAAAATCCTTAAGAGCAACAAGAGAAAAATCATTCATCACTTACAAAGGAAGTTCTGGTAAGATGAACAACTGACTACTTAACCAAGTCAGTGAAGTTTGGAAAGCTGTAGGATATAAAAGATCATTCATCAATAAGAAGAAAGTACTTTTCTCCCAGCTACTTAATTCAGTGTGTCAAAACAAAAAAAAATTTGGTGACATATGCAACATACTGAATTCTCTACATTCTTTTTTGGTACCTTTTTTTTAAATTTTTTTTTTATTTTTAAAGGATATGATTAAACATTTTAAAAATTCACTATTTTGAATTGTGGGTTATATATATTCTGTAATAAATGTATATATGTATATATTGTGTATATTTTATATATATATATATCTGGCAAATTTTAAAGAAGGTAAATTGTTGCTTTGCTATATATTTGTTAGTGTATGGGAATGAAATGAATGATTGTTTTATGAATGAAAAACAATCTATATCAGCTAATATATTAAAAACTCATTGGATAGTATGTAATTGTTTGCAGGTTTAAATGTTGATACAGTGTTTTTGAGTATAGACTTACTAAGAGAAAGACATGTCTTCACATGTACATTTAAAGTTAACAGGTTATAAAAAACAGACTTTTCAGCTTTTGTATGGCCTTAAAATGGGAGCTATACTTTAGAACAGAACAAAACAAAAAACCATTTCATTTTGAAAAATAATAAAAAAGCATGTACATACTTTAAGAAAACAACATATTTTTCCAAATCAAGAGTGTTCATTAAAATGAGGATCCAGATGGTCAATTCAGACACAGTGTGTGTAATGCTCTAATTTTTCCTCCTAGTTAAAAGGCTGGCCACAGAGAACCTGCAATACATGGTAAAAGCCTGCCAAGCGGGGTCAGAAGGAGAACCTGCCGCCCAGCTGACTTCTGTGTTTAGGTAACTGGAAAATATGCCAACTGGCAAGGGGACGATTGCCAGCCATTTGACAGCCAGCATGTTTTTTAAATAACTAATTATCCAAAACATAATGTGTTACTACTTGTTTATAGTATTTCAATTATTGTGTTTTTGGCAGTAGTTTTATTACATTGTGTTATTTTATTAAAAATAAAACTGCTGGGAGAAAGGTAAGTGAGCTGATTTAAAATTACCTGAAGATTTAGTAAGATGCTCGCATGTATTTAAGAAATGGGAAGTATGAGTCACGTTGACAGGTGCACGGGCCTTCAGAGCCTCTAAACATGTCACTCAGGATCCAGCTTAGAAGTGCATGTCACTGGTTCCCTTACTGCCTTTAGATACCATTGTCCCAGAAAGCACCATTAGGACTAATTTGTGAAGCACAAACTTAATAGTGGTATATCTGTTATCCATTCACAAAAATAACATTGCAATTTGAGGAACATTGTCTGTTTTGTTCCTTTTGTTTTTTTCCCCTGCCTTTTAAGAGCCCTGCTCATTCTATTAGGCAGCATTTTTAAGTATTTCTCACACTTTTTTCCAGTTCACCTATGTTATATGTATCTCTTCCCAAAGCATTGCCAGGTAAATAATTTGAGTTATTTCTTTCACCCTATGTAGGATCTTTGTTTCTAAAGTTTTTTTTTTTCCCTCATCACGTAATTGGCTCTTGCCAAGTGTTCCCAGTTTATTCAAATTGTGATACCTTGAAATAAGTAGATTTGTGAAAACTTTAAAACCCTAAGAGGAAAGAAAAGATTCTATATGAATAAAGATTGCATGTTTATTATGGACAATTTATTAAGCAAGGTGACTTTTATTTGGTGGAGAAGAGGGAGATGGAAATTTTAGGATTAGAATATGTAATTCTAATTTATAATGGTTCTCTGTGGCCAAAAATCTGTAAGAAATATAAAGATTATAAATAACTTGACTTCCTCATAAAAACATTTGATTTATCTGAGATATAAAGAACTAAAAAATAACTAGAAAACTGGACTTGTTTTTTCCTTAGTCTTTTCTACAGTCTTATCACCCAAATTTCCATATGCAGAATACAGCTAGATTTTCCCTGCTGGAATTCCCATTCTTCCCTTTGTTGGGAGGAACCACCACCCTAATCTGGCTCATATTTGAAAGTATTAGGATTTGAAAGCATTAGGATTTTCCTTTGGCATCTAGATTCTTAGGGTAATCTCACATGAAATGCTTTCTTGTATTCAAGTTACAGCTGGTTGCTATATAGATACCAACCAAAGAAGTGTCCCAGAAGTGTCCTCAGTAACTTGTTTTACTTTCAGGCATTTTATCCAGGATTATGGTATGACATACGATTATCAGATTTACAGCCTTTTAGAAACAGTGGCAGCACTGGACCAGCAGGTTGTTATCCACTTGATTTCTACCCTCACTCAATCGCTTAAGGACTCAGAGCAGAAATGGGGTGTTGGCAAAAATATAACACAAAGGTAAGTTTTATCATTTGGTTATGTCTTTTTGGATAATGGCTCATTTCTTTAGACCCCAAAATATGAAGTATATCCTTTTGAGTTGAAAAATGTTTCATTACTGTGACTGACACATTCAAATATTCACATATTATTCTTTTCAAAATGACTACCTTAGGGAGCTGTGTATTTTAGCAATGCAGCTATTACCAAAAACACATTCAGGTTCCTTATTGTGAAGTGTACTTTAGAAACTTAGGCATTGTGTTTTTCTATAAAATACATGGTGGCAAATCAGTCCTTTGAGGAATGCCAGACTAACTCAGCTATATCAAGCTTTGCTAGTAAATACAATGACCAGTCCAACTAGATGGTAAGCTTTCACTTTGGAGGATTTTTTGGTTTTTTGTTTTTTTTGTTTTTTGTTTTTGCCAAAAATAGATAATAAGGCCTATATATCCAGTTGATAATGGGCAAGACTATTTGTAATGAAACATTGTGGGACTAAGCCTGTAGTCTAGTTTGTTTTAAAGGGATCAGCAGTCACACCAGAATTCTTAATTATAAAAGCTTGTGAAAGAATCAAAGTATTGTGTGAGTATAGACAGACAAATAAGGTTAATTTATGATTGTTTGAATGAATGAAAAGTAATGGAGAAGGTAACAAATATACCTGCATTCTTTTCTTTTTTCTTACACAGGGAAGCCTATAGCAAACTTTTATCCCACCTAGGACAAGTAGGACAAGCTGAGATACAGAGACTGAAAAACGACATCTAATATATATTGTGATTCATTATCTCAATTAATTGTAACTAGTGATTTCATTTAATTGTATAATGTTCTATTAAAAATATTTTCTAAGATTTTTTCTTCGAACTATGATAAGCATAAAGTATATAAATAAAGAAATAAAGGTTTATTAAGTATGTGTAGGATTTTTGGAACTTGACAAACCTCGTTGTATGTTAAAATATTTAAACAAATTAAAGAAATGTTCTAATTGGAAGTATTATCTGTGTATGACTAAGTATGTTTGTACTGGTCAAACCATGACTTTTTTACTTTAATGTGATTCCCTGCCTTGTGTTTGTTGTGTTTTGAATTTTCACAAGTTAACATTTTACTATAACCCTTCTACAAATTGCCTGACTACACTATACACTATTCTTTTTTTTTTGGAGGTTAGGATCAGGAGAAGGGGCTGTATATTAGCTATCCTTTTTAAAAGTAAATTTGAGGTAAGTTGATAAATTTCTTATAAAGCATACTTACCTTTGTGAGGAATAAAACTGGATATAGTTGAATGACTCTACAGATAGCTTATATATTTTCTTCAAGAAAACGTAAAAAGCATTATGCTTTTCTTCAATAATTGCCAGATGTTTTTCCTCTATTCATTCTTTCTTTTGGAGTTGTCATTAAAAGAATTCTCTGGAAGAGGGAAAATAAGAGCCTTTAATAAAACAGGATAAATAATATTCTGAAAAATCTTAAAGTTACAAATGAACAAGTCTGAGAGTCATCTGATCCATCTTCTTACCCTTAGTTAAAATTTCTTAAAACATGGCCTCTTACCAACCAGTTTAATTTCTTTTAACTGCTTTTGTTTCTCAGTTCTTTAACTCATCTTTATCTTATCCAGGTTTTTCTATTCAGGTTCTTTTTCATTATTTTTTTGTGATGCATGTTTAGTTTAAACAAAAAAGCTTCAGTCCTAATGTTGGGAAGCCTCCACCTGGGCCTGGGGTCAAACCCACCTCTGTTTTGTAAACTTGAACAAGTTACTTAATCTTTCTCTGTTTCTAAGTGGGGGGAAAAAATAATTTTTTGTTTTTCACAATGTCCTTATAAGAATCAATGAAATATAATGTGAAAATTCTTGGTGACCTCTATTCTCTTTGGAGGCTTATCACTGTGCTCATACATAATGAAGATAAAGAATCAAGGACACCTCAGTTTTGTTACTGTTTTTCTAATGATATGTCCTAGATAAATAATCCTACCTTTTTTTCCCAATGTTTTCTTACATGCCCTGTTTTTTAACTTTGAAATAATTTTCCTCCCTCTTTGCAATTCTCATCTTTATTATGGTTCTCATTTTCCATCAAGAAAACATTTCTACTCCTTTCTGGCTCAAGTAGTAGCTTTAAAAATGACATGCAGTCAATCAGCAAACCATAAGATTCCTCTTCTAATTGTAACCTGTGAGGTCTAAAGGAGTCTGTTTTTTTTTTTATATATATATATATAGTAGTGATTTTCTCTTCACTTGACAACTTACTAAACTAATGATGTATCACTTTGCAGATTTCAGCCATTGAGGTGTCTGTTTAAGGAAATGTGTTTTAAAGAGGTTCCGTGTGTGTGTGTGTGTGTGTGTGTGTGTGTGTGTGTGTGTGTGTGTTTCAACACCTCCAGAGGTGGTCAATAAAGATAACTTTTGAGAATCTTGGTTTTTAGAGTATTAAACTTTTAAGGGATAGTAAATGCTGCTCTGGAATCATATATTAGGATATGTAGCTATAGATAAGAATAAATAGTTGTTGGTGGAAAAAATCAGTAACAGCATAAGTCTGAAAAATACTTGTAAATAAATATGTTTAAATGTGTCAGAATTTCAAAACATTTTTAATTGGAAAAAAAAAAAACCTGAATCAGTTGCTTATTTTCAAAGCCTGCATTGCCCCTTCACATATTACTCCTTTGTCTCATTCCTGTCAAAAACCTTATCCCCCCTTCCTTAATATCCATTTTCCCTAAATACCTTGTATCACTCAGACTTCTTACTCTACCTCAGTAATACAGCCATTCTCATTTGGTGATATCTGAGTATCTGTTCTTATTTCTGGATCTTTGGTCTCTCTGATATTTTCATTTTCCTTGATCTTCTCATACCTTCCTCACCAATGTTGATCCTTCTTACATGCATCCCATTTTGAGCATATTCTTCTTTCTTGTTCCCAGTGGTTAGAGTTGGCCCTTTGCTCTGTCTTATTCTTCTAGTAATCAATTGATAAAATAATTTTGTCTCTCAAATCTATTTCTAGCGTTGTTTGTTAAATCTCCCTAGTTGCATCTTCTTGAAATGTAAAGGTGACTTGTTAAGCCTCCCCTGTGACCTTCTACTCCAAACTGGCTCCTATCTTGTTTTCTATCCAGTGTATATAATGGTTTCCCAAGTTTCTTAGCTTTGAAACTTAAGAGGTACCTTGGGTTCTTGCTTGTTCCCCTCTTTCAGGCGATCTATGTACAGGCTCTTGATACTTATTTTCTTTGCCATCCCTGACATCTAAACTTTTTTTTTTTTTTAAAGATTTATTTATTTATTCATACAGAACTGGGGTACAGGCCAGAGGCTCAGAGTCGGCGAGAGGCTTCACCAGAGACAGAGTGGGGAGCAGAACAGGCAAATCTACTAAGTACACCGCTGAGGGGAGCAGTGGGCGGGTCAGGAGAGGTCTGCCGCGCCTTGTGGTGACCTCCAGGGCAGGCGGGAATCGAACTCATGCGGAAGTGGCTTTAGCTTCTCAGTGCTGTGCTTTAACCCGCTGCGCCACCAGGGAGGGCCGACATCTAAACTTTTGCTTAATTGGGCATTATAATCTCACTTATGGTTCCTTTTATAAAATTTTTCTTCATACCTGTCTGCTAAACAGCTTGTCTTTAAATGCTGTATTCCCATTGTTGAACCTCTAATCCCTTCTTACTGTTAAACTGGCTTTCAAATTCTTCTATCAAGAAACATTCAGCCACCTGACGACTTTTTCTTTGCAAACTTCTTTCAGGCAGGAGAGTTGACTATCATCTGCTTTCTGTGACAGTCATATTCATTGTACACTCTGAACCTCAGTTCAGTTTGCTAGCCTTTCTTAGAAATACTAGCCTTTCTATAGAAACCTAAACTTACACTTAAATAGGAAGACAATTAAAATATACAGTGGGATACATGAGTATTCCAGTCAAGTAATTTCTGTAAAATACCAGATGGCGTGTAAAAAAGATGATTGAAGGACAACAAGGTGATGAAAGGACTTTATTAGACATTCAGATTTGGTTATGATTAAAATTTCAATTAACATTTAATTCTCATCCCATGGATGAGAAATAACATGGAGTATTGCCTCTGTACCAAAATCTTTAGTATTTAGTTCACTTGCATTAGAAATTTCAGAGTTTAAACTTTTATATCATTACATATTGCGAAAATATTTTCTTAAGCATATTTGAATTTTTATAACTGGAAGTTATGTAAAAAATTACTTGTGGGTTGTTACTCTGTTTATTTTCATTATCCATAATTATTATCTTCAATACTTCACAAAATATAGCTACTTTGTTCTTGAAGAATTACTTGAACCCATTGTCAAATAGTTTAAAAGAATCTAGGACAGTTTTGCTTTTTGCTTCTCCTTTGATAAGATTATATGATACATAAAAATTGAACCAGCATCTATAGTTGGGAAAATCCTTCTTAAAACCTAACTACCCTAAATTTTACACATTAACACAGTAGTCATATTGCACAGGTAAATGTTAGAGGCATAGAAACTTCACTAAAAATTTGATTATCTGTAATAAATCACCACTTTTCAATAGCTAAACTTTTACAATAATCTTAATTTTGCTAAAGCTGTTCCTATACCTACCCCTTCTAGGTTTTAAGAATATTACCCTGTCAAGTGTATCATTTACCAACATAGATAACTTTGTTTAATTAAAACAGTTGGTTTTGAAAGCTAGTAAAGAAGCCTATTATTCTACATAATAATAAATAAGATACAAGATTCGTATTTGAATTCAATGATAAACTGTACTGATAAGGTTACAAAAATTAAGACCAAGTGGTTGAATTAGAATTATTTTCTACTTATTAAAGTTGTTAGTGTGCTGATGGTTAGCCAATTTATTGCATTAATGAGTTGTACTTTCAGAAAAATTCTGGATACTTTTATACACATAAGTTATTTGTCCTTGTAATAAAGATATATCTAATAAATTTATTTAGCTTAAACACTTGTGATTATTCTAGTTCCTTTTTATGACATTGGCTTTTTAAAAAAACAATTTAAAAAACTAGAAGAATAATCTCTATCCTTGTTGCCTTTAAACTCTTTTAATGTGAAAGTATGGAAGTTAGTTTTTCAGCTATTGCAGTGGCTGAAGGGTATAAAATATGCCTGTAAACTATGAAGAAAATATGAACAGAAAAGTATGAAAAATACCCCAAATCATAACTTGTCATTTTGTGGCTTAAGATTGAAGGAATTGTTTTTGCATTTATCACACATTATTTTAGAGACTCATGCCTTAGCCAGCTTCATCTCCCACTGTAAGAATACCCTGCTAATATCTATGTGGTATTGCTTTTTATTTTTTAAAGGAAATCTTAATGGTTAAATGGTTAGAGAGATCATGGTCTTCCTGTGGAAGTTCAGAGTAATATAATAATTTAAATACAAATGTAATCTTTAATTTTGAATAAAAAAGATGAGTTACTATAGGATAGTTTGCTTAAATAGGAATATATATATTTGAATTTTTTCAGGGGAAATTGATCTATCCGAATTTGGTTTAGTTTTCTATAGTCCTGTTAGATTTTACTATGAGCCATTTGAGGTAAATGATCTAATAAGTGATCTCAGTATTTTGGAGGAGATGGATGTTATGCCTTGGGATACTTTTCTTTGACTATAACTGCATGTTTCCAAAACTGTAAAGGATTTTAAAATACTCGATGCAACTTTTTAATATTAGTGAATAACACATCAAAAGTTCACCAAGAAGTGATTTGATTATACTGTTTGTTACGTGTGTGTTTAGAAATCTGTATGGAAATAATCGAGTAAACTTAGGCTGTCCATCCATTACCAGGCAGGCAAATTTGTTTGTAGACATTTTTCCTTTCTTAGTTGGATATAGGATATGTGATTACATATAGATTTTAATGTCTTTGTGAGAGTTCATGGAGAAGTTCATGTCACATAGAAAATTAGCAAACCTGAAACAGTTGTTGCTTTTTGGTCCTTGATACTTATCTGAAACGTTAAGAGTTCTTTTTTTTTTTTTTAACTTGGAAAGACATTTTTAATTTTGGCTTAAATGATTTACATCTTTTAAAGAGACTATCCTAAATATAAGTTATCAGTATCCATTTTTATTTTTCATAACTACAAATATCACTATTTTTGTCTAAACTGAGGTTCTACCCATTTAAAAATCTACCTTTTTCCCCCTTACCTCTAATCTCCCTTCCTGCCATTAATCTGAATAACCAGAGTTTACATATATGCATTTATATTTTTTACTAATGTTTTAGGTATTTTATAACTGTATAAAGTTACTGAACTCTGTTTAGGATAAAAATTCTTTATTCATTTCTGAATTACTAACAGTAGTTACATGAATAAAATGACAGTTTCCTGTTAGGCAAGGATTACTGAGTGATTAAACTATGCCAAGAAAAGTCAGTGTAAAGTCTTCCTTTTAATAAAAGGATTACTTAACTCCTAACAAGATTAGGAAAGAGGAAAAAAAAATCATGTTGCACTTGTTGAATTTTTGTTCAAATGTAATTGTTGTTTTATTCTTTATTTTGTTATATCGACAAAGCAAATCCAAAAATATAGCCTAGAAAAGAATTCTTATGCATTATTAACAGTGGCAGTGATAAAATATGTATTGGTGGTGGAAAAGAATCCCACATGTGCTCAAGATTGACATAACCTTTAACAAAGTGGAAAAACTTTTATTAGAACTGCCGATTCTAGGTTCAAATTTATGTCAAAGCACTTTATGGTGCCATAATTAGTACAACTAATTTTTTGAGCTTTAAAATGTCATTTTTCACTGAATGAGTTCAAATGATGTTTGAGCTATTATTTGATTCAAGGATTTGTACAAGTTTAGAAATATTTGACTTAAATAAACTTCCTCTTTCCTAATGAACATTTATCTCTTCCCATAATTTTTAGAATCATTTATTCCGTAGCATATTTACCAAGTTCTATCTGTAACTTTTAAACTTCAAAAATAATCTTTCTGTTCAGTTACAAAGTTCTAAAGACAGTAAAATAATTTAAGCACCATCTTTTTCTTAGGTAATATACTTCATGCAGAACACTTACCTAATCCTTACAACATTCTTTTGAGTTAATATGGAAATCAATAATTATCCCCCTTAAAAAGTAGGAAAATTAAAACACTGTAAAGTTAAGTTTCTGGCCCAAGGACACAGAGTAATCAAGGTGAAAATTTTGGGTATTCCAACTGCTATTCCACTGTGCTTCTACTATTCATTACATTGAATAAAATATGGCATTTAAAAATTTATGATGTCATAATGCTGAGTCTCTACTGAGTGGTACTGAATAATGTTAATTTTTTTAAAGAAAACTTACAAACCCATGGTTAAGTAGTAAAGGGGTTAAGTACTGATATTTGTTGTTTGTTTTTTAAGCTGTATGGCAGTACTTGTGAAATAATTGCCTTGCTAACAATATCATGTTGTCCTACACAGTGCTTATTTAAAAAAAAGTATACAAACAATACTATAAAGACCCATGGAACATATTGGACCATTAAGTTGGCACAAAGCTATACCACAGTAGAAGTCATACATATTACACTGTCTTTTGACACACACTGAGAAGGTAACAGGGATTTAGAAAACTGTCCTTTTTTTGCTAATGGTTTTCTGAAGATAAGACATACAACAAGGAAGCAGTGAGCACTGAGTTTTTTTTTTTTTCCCAGTATCCAAAAGACAAGCCTTTCTTTTCCTTTCTGTTAGTGACAGTTAACAGAGCATTGGCTTCTCAGATGGTGCCAATCCTGTGATGAGGCACTTGCAGAGTTTGAAGGTTAGGACACGTGAAATAGGGAGCTGGAAGGAAGCAGGCTGCTATTCCATTAGAAGCAAAAGGGAGTGTAGGCCCATAGAATACTTCCTCTTTGCCCTCTCTGCTTACATCCAATACCTATGAAAGAAGAAGTGAAGACTGTAATGTCTAAATGACTCCTCAAAGTAAAGCTATGCATACATAAAAGTAATCTGCCATGAAATTGTTATGCCCCATGACCATACTACAGACATTGTTATTATTTTTCTTAATGTACCGTCAAAACTGTGTATTAAGTACCTGGTAAGTACAATTTGGTATGTTTGTGTGTATACATATAGTTAGATATATCTGTAAATATACATATAGTTAGATATATCTGTAAATATACATATATTTAGATATAGCTATAGATAGGTATATGTAATCACTTAATCTTCGTAACAGTGATAAAGTACCATTATTTTCATTTAATAAAAATGTCTTAGACTAGTTAACTTGCCCAAACTAGTTGACTAGTTCCCATATGCTGGTTTACCAATCCTTATCTGTAAAATGAAGATGAAAACATTGACACTGCAGTTTTGTTCTGAAAATTTCATTACCTCTAGCACATAGAATTTTACAACACAGCTTATTAATATGTTCAAAAATCAGTTGACACCAGAAAAATAGCCCCCAGCACTTCCCCTTCAGGTTACAGAGTCCCTTTTTTTCCTTATATGGAGAAGAATCTCTTAATTTATTCCTATTATTACCTCACCTAATCTGCCTTAATCGTACTACTAGGAAAATTCTCTTAGGAAAACAGTTCATACTATTTTATCAAACCCATCAAGCTCTTTCCAGCTTCAGTCATCTCCGTCTCTCTTTATTTGAGAACCCCAACATCATTTAAAACCCTTACTCTCCTAGATTGTCCATGTTTTAGAATACATTTTTTTCTCCAGTCAAAAGAAAATAATAATGATCTATAAAAAGACCAATCACTTGCACACTTATGCAGCTGCTCTCGTGTGCTATTTGTGATCCATAGAGTAGAGTCAGCCAGAATAGTGTCAGCCTCTGCCTGCTCACTGTAGGTGACTATCACTGTAGGTGACAGTGCTCCAATATTCTAACCATAGACTTCCTGGTACTCTAATGATCTTGAAGAATACAAATACCTTCATCTGTCACCTAGATGGGTAAACCTAAAGTCTTTAAAGAGAATAAAATATTAGATGATGGGGGTCCTTGAAATTTGAGGATCAAAAAGGAAAAGACCTAAAATAAAAGAAATATTGAACTCCAAATAGACAATTAGCTTTCCACCCCATTATAAATTATATCCCCTGGCACTACTAATTTGTTTTGCTAAATACAAGCTATTGGCTAAACAAACTTTTTCCTTCTGTTGATAGACCTATCTTTCTGTAGTCCACGTTTATATTTTGATTGGGTAGGACAAGTATCCCCCCGTCACTTAAAAAGTACTGATGAATCCTCATTTGATGAGTGCCTTTCCCTCAATCTTTGAGAAAATGAAAAATCTTAAAGGGATTTTACAATTTTCATTAACTATAGAAAGTAGAGCACTCTCCATATTTACCTCTGCTGTATAAGGCCAAGTATTGTGTTATGTTTATAGAGAAGAAAACAGATACACAGAAAGCAGTGACTCGCTCAAGGTTATATAACTAGTAAGTGCTGGAGACAATATTTGAGCTCAAGGGTTCAACCGCTGAATGACCAAGGATTCCAAGCTACTCGTGATATTTTTCTCCCTAACAGAATACATTTCTGGAAAAGAAACTGTCAGTTGAGGTCATTTAGAGAGCTTTCATCTGGCTCCCAGGGCAAGGGAGACTACATATGTGAAGGAGATGTATTTTATTTAATCTGTGAGAAGAGAAAAGGAAGGATTAGTTATTTTTCTCCAAACATTTCCCTGTAAACTGGCAAAAAAAAAAAAGGCATTTGGGAGATGAGGTGCCAGCTTGGCAAGCACATCCTCCAGCCAAAAGGAAGTAATCACAAATGAAGAGCGGTAGAGGTGATCTGGAAACAGACTAATCACTTGCACACTTATGCAGCTGCTCCCTTACGTGCTGCTCGTCATACATGGCGCACCAGATTAACGTCAACTTTGCCAGATATTTGTTTACACACCCATAAATGAGCACCTCTGCTTTCTTCGGGAATTTTAATAATATTTCCCATGAGTCTTTCTTAATAAGTACAAATCTCAATCTCTCAACAAATTTTAATTTAAAAAGTATCTCAGCTTTTCTCATTTGGGTTGCCCAAGTGGTCATGTAGTACAAGGAAATAAAATGCTTTTTCAACACCAACATAATACTTGCTTATACGAGTGAATCCTAAAAAGTGACAGTTAAATAAGTTTTGATTAGAGCCCAGAAAGGGCAGTGAAATCTGACAGGTTATATGGCTGGTATGTCAAGGACAAAATAATGACTTTAGCTCTTTTATATGTTAACAGAGCAATAGAACTTTTTAAGTGTGACTTTCATTAATCTTAGTCATGCCCTTAGAATCCAGGGATTATATAGATTTGTGACTTATAATGAAAAATTTAAACTGATATTTTTAGCATGTACACTTTTTTTCTGTCACTCAGTCCTATACTTTTTAATCTGCTGATTTGTTTGTCACAATGTCTACTATCTAGCTATCTAGCCAAGATTTTTCTCAGGAGCACTATTCTATTCTCCTATTACCTGCTTGTCTGTTGGATAGTCTTGCCACAAATAGTAAAGAAGTAATAAAGCACAAGTTTCAACATGTATGTTGCCTCTACAACCATCAATACACTTAATGTGAATTATTCAGTGAACAAAAATAGTCCACAGCCACCCAAAAATTGGAAAATAATGAGATCGTACAGAATAATGCTAATATAATCTGTAGACAGTTGTCAATAGCTAAAATGACTGATATATATGATGAGGCTATTATCCATGAAGACTTTCATTCCAAACATTTCTACGTGACAATCCATATGTCAAGTGTCCATATGCTTATATGTGCACTTGTTTGTATCTATAAGCAGTTCAAGCCCTTTAAATCAAATTTATCTGCTTTGTAAGACTAGTCTGCCAGCAAGGGAATATAGAATTTGCAAAATGATTAATTTTGCACATCAAAATGGAAATGAACACAGCTATCCATAGTGCTGATTTTTTAAAGTAAAAAATATATTAAAATATTTTATTGTTGCATCTTAAAGGTTAAAATTTATCCCACTGATAAAGGCATTGATTAATACATTTATGAATCACCTCTTTTAGAATCACCTTAATCCTAATGCTGCTGTAGAATAGCCTGAGCAATTTAAAATACATACATACCCCTTCATCTTTTGAGAACAGATTTGCTTATTTGGAACATCCAGAAATCATGAAGAGTTAATTAGTGTATGTGATTAGTGATCATTCTAGCTTGATTTCTATTCCTTGAGCTAATTTAATATTAAAATTAGTAGAAATATACCCTTAAGTATATTTGAATTTTGCATCTTTACTTCATAATAAACCCAAACTTGCTTCCATTGTGCCAGTCAGATAAAGGGCACCAAAACCACTCAAAAAATCAGGGCACTATTATTACAAAACACTGCCTACTGACCAGTTCAATGTTTTACCAATTTTGAAAAGTAAAAAGAAACAAAAACAGTAAAGATTGACAAAATGTGCTGAAATGAAAGACTAGAAGCACTCCTTGAATGAAATGTGCTTCTGTTGTAAAAGTCATGACCACACTCCATTACAAGACAACCTTCAATCAACTGAAAAAACCTTTTTCATATATCTAATTTGTGGCTTTGATCATTATACTGTATGATCACTTTGTAGGTCATTACTTTCCTTTCATTTATAATTTCTCCTACACCAAGTTTATATTTTTGGTCATCTTCTAATGTATAGTGCTATACCACTCAAGATTTACATGTATTATTTTCATTTCCAAACAGTTCTAGGTATTTTTTTTTCTATTTCCACTGCAACTTCATTAATTCATAGTTATTTAGCAAAGCTTTATTATCTCAAAATATACAGGTTTTTGTCTTTTGTTAAGTTCTAGCTTAATTGTGTGGTAGTTAGAGATTATAGTTGACATAATACTTAACCTAAAATTTATTAAAATTTTCTTAACATTGGACTTAGTGCATTATTGTTTTTACTATATGTTCTATGCTTACTTAAGAAAACTATCCAGGAACATCAGGATAAATCATATGTTAGGCCATAAAATACGTCTTAATAAATTCTAATCACAATGGTAAAAACTAGATCAGTTAAAATAAGAAAGCTGGAAATTTCTGTAAACTGTGAGGATTAAGCAACTTATTACTAAATAATTAATGGATTAAAGAAGACATTTTTTAATATCTTGAGAAAAAATATAAAATAACATAACAAAATGTATGGGATGCAGCAAAATTTCTAAGTAGGAAGAGTATAGTGATAAATGCTATTACTAAAAATGAAGTAAAAAAAACCACCCAACTTTACATCTCAAATAACTGGAAAAGAAAGATCAAACTAAGCCCAAAGTTAGGAGAAGAAAGGAAATGATCAAGATCAGAATGGAACTAAGGAAAGAAACCTTTACCTATCAAGAAATAGAGTCAGATTAAAAATGGAGAGATACTATAACTGACACCATACAAAGGATCATAAGAAATTACTATAAGCAATTATTCATCAACAAATTGGGCAAGCTAAAAAAAATGAATAAACTAGAAAGAAACAGCAATCTAACAACATTGAATTATGAAGAAATAGAAAATCTGAACAATCTGGTTGCTAATAAGAAGATGGAATCAATAATCAAAACCCTCCCAACAAAGAAGAGTCCCAGACCAATTGTTTAGAGTTAATAACAACTCTTCTCAAACTCAAAATAGAAGACAGTGGTAAAATAAATTGAAGATACAAATAAGTGTAAAGGTATTCTGTGTTCATGTGTTGAAAGAATTGATATTGTTAAAATGCCATATGACCAGAAGTAATGCAAGCCCTAATAATATTACAATGAAAGTTTTTACAGGAAAAAAAAATTGTAACATTTGTATGTAACCACAAAAGTCCCCAATAGTTAACAGCTCCAAAAATTGGAGAAAGAACAAAACTAGAGATATCACACTCCTTGATTTCAAACTGTAGTGCAAAACTACAGTAAACAAAATATTATGGTATTGACATTTAAAAAAAAACACATAGATGAGTGGAGCAGAATAGAGAATGCATAAAAAAATACCATGCATTATGTTGATTCACTTATGACAAAAGAACTAAAAACAATAATGGGGGAAGGACAGTCTCTTTAATAAATGGTGTTGGAAAAGTGGGCAGGCACATGCATAAGAATGAAACTGGACCTTGCTCTTTCAGTATACAGAATTTAAAAGGATTAAATATTGGAACCTAAGACAAACTAAAACCCAAGAAGAAATCAAGGGCTAGAACTCTCGACTATGGTCTTGGCAATAACTTTTTTTTTTTTATCTTACAATAAAAACAAAGCAACAACAGCAAAAATAAAGAGGAACTACATAAAAGTATAAAGCTTCTCCACAACAAAGGAAACCAACAAAATGAAAATGCAACCTACTAAGTGGGAGAAAATATTATCAAATCACATTTCTGACAGGGTTTAATATCCAAAGTATATTAAAAAATCATGCAGCTTTATAAATAAAAATAAGTCTAAGGATCTGATTAGACTTTTTTTTCCCAAAGAAAACACAAATGGCCGACATTTTCAGGAAAAGATGCTCAACATTATTAATCATTGGGGAAATGTAAATCAAAGCCACAATGAGGTATCACAAACCTGCTGCAATGCCATAAAAAAGACAAGAGGTAATAAGTGTTGGCAAGGATCTGAAGAATCTTGGTGAGAATGTTAATTGGTGCAGCCACTATAAAAAAATTAAGATGAAGGTTCCTCAAAAAATTAAAGTTAACATCTGATCCATCTATTCCACTTACAGATTTATCTCGAAGTGGTGTCTGCACCCATGCTTATTGTATTTATAAGAGCCAAATAATGGAAACAAGTGTCCATTGACAGGTAAATGGAAAAAGAAATGTGAGGTGTACACACACATCATTTATAATTGCATGTGTGTATGTGCATGTGTGGTACGCTCAAAAGGAACCAGCTTCCAGTCATAAGTTCTGGAAATACAATGCACAGCATGGTGACTATGGTTAAAAATAGCACATTTTATGTTAGAAAGGAGGTAAGAGGATATCTTAACATTTGTTACCACAAAAATTTATATAACTGTGATGAGATGAATATTAAGTTTTTCATTTAGCAAACTATACATATACAAACCGTGATGAAACGCCTAAAGCTGCTATAATATAAAATGCCAATTGTATCAAAAAAAAAAAAAGGAAGAGAATATATCCTAATTATTCTATCCAAAGCTTATTCCCATTAGGAGCAGCTTGTTAATTATGTTGTTCATAACAATGCTACACTTACTGATTTAGATCTATTTGATTTTTGTCAATAGTAGAAATATGTTAATGTCCCCAGACAAACCTCTATTAAGACAAGTCATAAAAAAAGAAAAGAGTAAAAAAAATATGAATATTAAGGGTATTACAAGGAAAACAAAATTATATGCTGACATACAGACATTTGGCAACATGAGAAGTTTCTTGAAAAAATATATAACCCTAGTGAGATGTGATTGAAGAAGAAATTAAAAGTTTGAATAGTCCTAAAACCATTAAGAATACTGAAACAGTTGTTAAGTTTTTCCACAAAAATGAGGTTATATAATCTGAATGTGTATGAAGCTACATAATATGAGAACATATGTTTTTGGAGATGAAGAGAAAGGTCATGGCTAATATGTGTCAGTGTTATCAGAAAAAAAAATAGAAAAACAACTACATCAAAATTGTAAAATAATGCCTTGAAAATGCCTATCAACAAAAGCAATTGCTGTTCTAAAATGCCCAGCTGGCAATTTGCCCAGCCAAGACTCTTCACATGCTGATATGTCAGGATTATACCCTGGGACAGAGGCTGTCCCTGCCAGAACAATAGTAAGCCACTATGCTCACAACTTCTACTAGGAAGAGAGAACATCTTAGGAGGTGCTGGTTATGAAATGCACAACTTGCAAGAAAGAAAATAAAGCCATTAAATGGAAAGGAGGCATTTGAAAAGTTTTAAGGAATGCAGATGAACTATTGCCAAAAATTCTAAATACTTTTGGCTTATAAAAAAGGAAAGTTAGGCCCTTTTCCCCACTTCCAGTATATATATATATTTTTTCTTTTCTTTTTTTAAAATAATATTATAGTTTATGTTTACATCATTTTGTACTTTTTTTTTTTCATCTCAATTGTAATCCCAGTGGGTTTCCCATCACCGAGTCACCCATGTGCCATCACCATAGTCCAGTGCATTTCCCTCCCCTCACTGTTTTTGATCCCATTCCCCACTCCACCCCCACAAAATGTCTCTGGCATATGGCTGTTCATTATTCTTATTATTTTCTCGCCTGGTCCTTATATATCTTAAAGTTCATTTCTATCTTTATTTTCAACAGAATTAAAATCATTAGGCAAAATTTTTAGAATGCAGGTTCATGGCTGAATAAGCTGCATAAACAAAGCCTCTTCCTACATGTAAGTATCTCCTCCTTCAGTAAAAGCACCGGGAAAAGGAACCTCATCAAACCACTGAACAAACTTCAAAAGGAATTTCTCAACCACTCACCTGGATACAAGCCAGAGGCTCATTTGTCCAAATCGAATATCCACCAACTAAATATATCCTTTCATTATGGACAGCAACTCCAGATTCATTTTGGCCTAAAGTAAAGAGAATTGAATAAAAGAAAAAATAAATCTACTTCCTTACATGTCTTAATTAACCCTTTTGCCACTGAAGGATACAATTTCCCCACTGGCATACTTGTATGTTCCACAGGATTTTTACAGCAACTAATCACTGATTCCCAGTACTCAAAGGGAAGAATTGACCACTTTCTTAAAGAATGAATTTGTGTCAAGTTAGAACCAGGTCAAAATACTTATTAGCCTGCTATGTTAGTAAATACAACACTAAGTACAACAACAATAAACCACAAAGAACCGAGCATTCTATACTGTTATGTGCCATTAATTATAATGATAGAAATAATGTATATTTTAGAAAGGCAAAATATCTCTTGTACCTACAAATACTTTAATTCAAGTGTTCACGTGTTTAAAGAAACAGCTGCAACACCCAAGAAGCCAATAAAACAGAACTATGCCCCTTGTGTGGCTCAAATGAAGACAAATGACAGAAAAGATTGATCAAGTTACTACCCTCTCTTTCTTTACATACACAACAGTTTTAAGACTATATTAAAGTATCTGAGCTGGGACCAAACTGCGTAATCCCTAGATACTGACACGCCAAAATGATAAAAGGTAACTCCCCCATTTAAAAAAGAAGACAGAACAACTCGCTACCTCTGTTCTTCCCCGGAGGCCATCAGAGAGTGAGGAGAGTCTCTTTTTATTGATGGGCTGACACAGGATTGACTGGAGTAATAAATAAGCTAGGTCCAACTGCAGACAAAATCACAGATCCCAAGACTGAAGGTTTAAGGTACCACTACAGAAACTTAGAGCTAATCACTTGCAGGTGAATCACAAAAACTATTTACAGAAACAAGAGTTCAACACAAAGTATCTGGGCCTCTCACAATGGCAATATTCACAGTAGTTCCTCCCCCAGCAGCAGCTGGAAGTAATCGAGTGGCTGGCCAGCATATTAAAAAGTCTTCAGGCATTGGTCCAGCCCACCATTCTGAGTTTGTGGTTATTCTGTTTGTAGAACAGCCTGGAAGGGAACTTGACACTTGTGGTTGTTACTAGTACAAGCTGAAAAGGGAGGAAAAGTTTTCAACATGGGAAATGTCAGGTGTGAATTGTTCACTGCATTCCTTCCTTTTCCCCTTTGGGATAAGGTTGGTTGGTGCCTAGCGCAGCCTTAGAGCAATGTGTGGTACTGCTATAGGGCAGGGTGAGGGGCATCCTTGAACCCTCCCCACACACACACACACACTCTCTAAATAGGTTCTGCCATCTGCTGCATCAAAACAAAACATGTAAGATATTTAATGGAAAGGAACTTTAATACAATTAGTGTGCAATACAGAAAAGACAATATAGCTTTTAAATCAAACACCCAAAGTTAGCCATCTCCTCGTGGGTAAAAGTCTACCCAAAAGGGATTGGCCCAAAGCAAGGCTTAGCACCATAGAAAAGGGTCGGAAATGGCCAAAGAAGTCTGGGAAGAAAAGAGCAAAACCAAAATCAAAATTAACACTGCCACAGTTAACCTCCCCTCTGGTCTCTCACCCCAATTGGTTTCAACCAGTTCAAGGCCAAACAACAGGAGCCGCTTCTTCACGTGTCTCTGAGCTCCATGTGCCTCCCTCAGGTTTCCTGGCTCTCCATCCTGCTTCCTTCCTCCTCAGTCTCCTCTACAGGGTCTCCTCTCTGCTTAGTTCCACTCTCCGTTGAGTGGGGCATGAAACCTGGAACCTCCCCTTTTCTTGGGGATCACACTGTTACAGTATGTGTAGACACAAATGTAGTCAAAACTACTAACCACAGAACTGCTTGCAGGGTTCATTTTGGGGAGAATCCACCCAAAACAAATACCTAACAGCAACAAATAATACAGACTCTTTTGGACTCATAATAAAAGATGATGAAAACTAGTGAGAAATCAGATTAAATGGGTTCTGTAAAGAAATTACTAATTCTGTCAGCATTTGTCTCCTATTTATATCAAAGTTCCCTGATTGACGAGATGGACTTGGCATGTCTCAGCTGTATGAGGATGTGCACAAAGGTAACACAGGCTCTGTGAAACCAGGTGCTTAGCCTCTTCGTGTAGTGAAATTTTGTGAAATAAATATACCTTTCTGGTTAATAAAAATATCAACTTGTTCTATCACTATGCATTTAACATTCAGAGATGCACTAGAGATGCCTGAAACATTAACTTTTTGTGCCTTACTTAATTGAAGGTACTTGCCAGTCAACAGGTTGAAATTACAACGTGTCCACTGGTCAGCATCTATGTCATAGGAATCTATATGCCGCACGAGGATCCGGTCGTTATTGTAGTCCAGGTCATTGCCTCCAAGAACATAAAGCTTCCTTTGGACAGCAGCCATGGAATGGTAGACCCTTCTCTGCAGCATGGGGCTGCGGCTAATCCACTTATTCTGAAGAAAGAAATTCAGGTGAATTCTGTTAAGAGGAGATCACTGGCCCTCCCTGGTGGCGCAGCGGGTTAAAGCGCAGCACTGAGAAACTAAAGCCACTTCCGCATGCTTTCCATACCCGCCTGCCCCAGAGGTGACCACATGGCTGAGGCAGACTTCTCCTGACCCGCCTGCTGCTCCCCTCAGCAGTGTACTTCGTCAATCTGCCTGTTCTGCTCCCCAGTCTGTCTATGGTGAAACCTCTCACCGCCCCTGAGACTCTGGACTGTACCCCAGTTCTGTATGCACAAATAAATAAATCTTAAAAAAAAAAAAAAAAGGAGAGCACTACAGTAGGAAACAGCAGTGCCTCTTTAGTGGTGGAGACCGGAACGTTCAGCCCCCACGTTTTGTTCATACACTACAAAGCCTGTGGTGTTATAAGCTTCTAACCTGAAAACAAGGGCAGAAAAACCATAAACTCCAATTCCACTTTATGATTTACATAAGGCATTTCCTCCCATTTGGGGTACATTTATAGAGCATTTTTCATTTTAAAAGAGGAACATAAGCATATAGAAAGTTTCAAGGTTATCTCACCCAATTCAGAGAAGTTAATCATGTAAATTATGTAAGAGTGGAAGTGCTCAATTTATACTGTCTAGCAGTATGAAAATTAAAAAAACAGGCACTCGATCCAAAATACCTGAGTTTATAACCTGTGTGTGAGTATGAGCAATTTACTTAGCCTTTGTGTAAGTTTTCTCATCTGTAAAATGAGAATAACACCCACCTAAGAAGCCTGTTGTAATGATTAAGTGTGCTAATGTTACATAAAATATTTAGAATAATGCACTAACTGGACCCTTTAAAAACTATTACTGTGATGATAATCACTAACTACCACAGGTCCCTACATCGACTAGGATGAAGAGTCATGTGCTATTCTTTACAAAATTAACCTGCAGAGATCAGCTTAACCTGGAAGAACTAAGATTTGATTCAGCAACAAATTTCTACATTGTTTAGTATCAGCCTCCATTAACATAACATTATAATCACATCTGCAAGGTTGAGAAAAGTTATTTCTAGGCAAACATCTATTTGTTTTAGTAGGAGGTCAAGTTTTGTATGATAACTTCAGGGAGTATTGAAACAGCCAACATTTGGTTCTAGATCACTCTCAACAATGAGAAAGGAATATCAGCCTCTCCTAAAGTTCCTATTTAAAATATAACAAAATTAGATGAAAATGATATGACTCTGCTTTTAAATCTTAGCTAAGTAATAGACAGGTAAGTAAACCTAACCATTTCTTTTCTACATAAACACTCGATACACAAGAACAACCCAGATTCCTTTATGCCAAGAAAAAAATTGGATTTCAACCAGAAAAATCATATGATGTTTTGAATACATAAAATTTCACTAGTGTACAAAGCTGTAAAGGAAGAAGCAGAAAAAAAATGTTTTGAATACACATTATTTCAGCAGTTCACGAAGCTGTAAAAGAAGCAAAAAAAGTTTTTTACAAATATTTGTCCATTCACAAAAGCATATCTACTAGCTCATTTCTAATTTCCCTTTTAAGAATACACTCAAAAAGAAAAAGAAGAAAAGGGTGGTTTGTGAAGCTTTAAAGGCATGCATTTATCTGTCCCCCCTTCTTAAACATTTAAGAATCTCTTTCCAAATAAATGTCTTATTTAATAAAATAGTAAATCCTTCCTGAAGATATTCTGCTAAGAAATATCTTTAATGCATTACACATGAGTAGATTTAACTGATGATGCTTTCCTTGGGTTGTTCTATGAGGCACCCCATTACAGTATTAGGAATCAATGTTTGCATTAGCAGTCCAGTCCCCCGCCACAGAACTATGGACGCCATCTGGTTTGCAAAGCCTGCCTGGATCCCCTGATTATATCTTTAGCTTCCTTCACTGCAGTGCCTGCCAGGTGAGCTGCCAGCCACTGCAAAGGCAAAGAAACACAGAGGCCTGGCCGGGTCATTCCTAATAAGCTAGCGTGTGAATACTAATCAGTGGTGGGGAAGCAGAGGTCACCCCAGCCTGCCGGTTGGCAGGTAGCGATGTGCTCTGTGGCAGATGGCAGGCATTATCGATGCTCCACAAAGGCCTAGAAGAGAAATAAGCACTAGGGCTGAATGATAGAGTTATTGAGATTCTGAGCAAGATGCAAGCAGATGTGATGTTTGCCAGTACCCACCGTAAACAATATGCCAGCAGAATTTTTAAAAAGAGTTTGTGTGTACAAACATGAAACAGAACTCATTTGAGAAATGTTAACACCGTCTTTCTCTTTAACCACGTATGCACCTAGCTCAAGCAACTACAATTAATGATCCCTCCTGAGACATCTGACCCCTGAATATGTGGTCTCTTAATCCTACTGCTTCTAATGACATCAGGAAACACACTTGCAAAGAGGGAAATACCTCAGTTAAATTCAGAATCAAAATGATTAATAAAGTAAAAAGACATCAAATAGACCGGGTCACTCTGGACTTAGCCCCATACAGATTCCCAAAAGCCAACCTGTTGTTTTGTGTTCCATAATCTTTGGATGAAGAAATATCAATGCCCCAAATCAAATCATTTTGATTTGTCATAATTGTGCAAAATATTTATATTTCTAAAATCACAGAGATGGCAAAATTGAACAAACATTTGTCAAGGCCACAGATATTTTGATAGAAGAAAAAAACATAAAAATTGTTCTGCTATGCTGGAGAACAGTCATTAAAGTGACTAGAAAGACAGGCACCTCAAAATGTTTCCAAAGTAGACCCCAGTGGTTGGAAAAATAGTATTCAAATACTTCTTCTTTAAATTTGTCCCAAACAGGGCGCTAGAACATTTTGCTGTATTTCGTTAAGTAAAATACGTTATTTGGGAATAACAAAGCCATAAGCATATGCCTTTCCTAGAATGATACACTTTCTGAAGGACATAGCAATAGGACAATTAAACTCCTCCCTCTGGATGCTCTGAATAAGAGTCACTTGAATGGATGCATTTAATTCATCAACGTATTTTTTAAAAGATTTATTTATTTATGCATACAGAACTAGGGAACAGACCAGAGGTGCTGAGAGGGGGGGTGAGAGGATTCACCAAAGGCAAAGTGGGGAGCAGAACAGGCAGATGGACTGGAATACACTGCTGAGGGGAGCAGCGGGTGGGTCAGGAGAGGTCTGCCATGCCGTGTGGGTCAGCCCCTAGCCGGGATTGAACTTGTATTGCAGAGGCTGTGATAGCTTCATAGTGCTGTGCTTTAACCTGTTGTGCCAACAGAGAGGCCCCTCATCAACATATTTTGCATTTTTTTTTAACTTTATAAAAACTCTGGAAGAGTTAAACATGAATATAGCATAACACAATTTGAAATTTTGTGAAAGGGGAAAAAAAAGGATTCAAGAAGTAGTTTATCCAGGTGCTTCCTTTCTTTATATAAGTTTAAGGTGCCATATGTGTACAGACTTGGCATACCAATTACTAATTACTGCAGAAATATTTTAAAATTCATTTTAATTAAGGTAATGAGTTTTTTATATGATTCTTACCTGGTTAGGTTCATATACCATTAGTCTGTTCTGATATTGTGCTGTGTTAGTTACTCCACCTGAAATGAATTAACATGCGTTAGTGCTTTCCATGAATAAGAAATTGGATATTCCAACATACGAATGAGATACAATTAAAGGAAAATTAGCTACTGCTGAGGATCTGTTTGTATACCCTCATGGTGAACCCATGACATAATTAAGAAACTTATTGTTGAAGCAATTTCATTCTCCAGAAACACTGCAGAAGCAATCCAGTTGAGATCTAGCAACACGTTGAGATTATCAAGAGACCCCCATTTCTGGCAAGCTGCTCCTCAGGGCCAAAATGAGGGACAGATTATGGAGAGGGAGGGTGAGTTTCCAGAAGTATATAGTGATGAATCTGCAATTTATGTCAGGGACATAGTTACATGGAAAATTCTTGATCTTAACTGACAATTTTACAGCTCTAACCTGTACTAACACAGTTGTATCATGATCATTGGGAGAATCATACCTAAGATAAGACATGATTTAGTAAAGAGATCTAGAATCAATGCTGTTCAATAAAACATAACAATAGTCATAAACGTAAGTCGCATGAAATTTAAAATTTTCCAACTGCCATGTTGAAAGTAAAAAAAAGTAAAATCAAACTGATATAAATTCTATTTAATTCAGTGTAGCCAAAATTTCCACATGAAATCAATATAAAAACTATTGAGATGTTTTATATTCTTTTCTTCATACTAAATTTTTGAAATCCACTGTAGACATGGCACAGCACATCTCAATCCAGATGAGCCATGTTTCAAATGCCCAGTAAACCACATGGTTGGTGGCCACCCTATTGGACAGCACAGATTTAGATTATTGCAGTGCATCTGCCGATGATAACTTTTTGAAGTTATCATCTGGTTAGATCCAAAAGATTTGAGACCTGTCTTGCATCAAAAACTACTAAGAAAGTATCATAATTCCAGCTAAGTTTCTCCTATTCGTCCTCGTACTTTGTTCATGTCTGTGGTGTCAACTGAGCTCTATAAAAGCCCAGACATTATTGATTCTACTTTAATTTTTAATGTTAAGTGGAAAAATTCTGAGAGATCTCAAAACAGCACAGTGAGAAAATATCACCAGGAGATATTAAATGTTAGGTGGTAAAGTAACAGGAAAATGAAAACCAAAAAAGAAAATCTATCTTTAGAAGGACCGCCATATATATAATTTTAGATGCTAGTATAAAATGCTTATCATTTGAATTTCAGTATCACAAAAACACAACTAATTTTTTAGTGAATATCAAAAATTAAGCCAAATCAAAAAGTTTCCTGTTGAAATTTTTTCAATCTAAATAATGTATATTGGGCTTCCCTAGTGGTGCAAGGGGTTAAGTCTAAGCACTATGGAGCTATCAGCAGGCACTACACTACAGTACAAATTCCATCCAGGCCAAGGAGCTGACCCACATAGTGCAGTAGGCCTCACCTGTCTCTCCCCTGCAGCTCCCCTTAGCAGTGTACTTCAGTAGATCCACCTGTTCTGCTCCCTACTCTGTCACTGGTGAATCCTCTCACCCTCCACCCCCATCCCCACTGTACCTCTGGCCTACAACCCAGCTCTTGTATGCATAAATAAATCTTAAAAAATACAAAAACAAAAACAAAAAAACTAAAACTAAAAACAAGGTACATTATTTAGTTACTTCACCTGAATATTCTCATCTTAACTAAATATTAAATGTCTTTCTTCCTGGCTAGGACCCTGACCTCCCTTTTCTTAGAGCATCTGCTTTAGAAAACTTGTAATTATAAATTCTTTCTCTCCCTCTTTGAGATGTAAATCATTTACAAATCCCTAAGGTTTACAATCCAGGAAAATACAGGTCAAGGGCATAGGAGCCTTCAGATTGGAGAGGTAACAATCAAGGAAGACAGCAACCTGCACTCCCAGTGTCTGTGGGAGGGTAGTAGCCCCATTTGAGGCTCATCAGTCAGCAAACACAAATCACAGAGGGATTACTGAGTTGATAACAAGCTCAGGGATGACCAACATATCATATTTATCAATACATTTACCCAAAAGTTCTTCAGTACTTTTTCACTGGCACATCACAGAGCTTACAAATCTTCCTGACTTGTTTTTGGGGGGAGTTGATTTTTTTTTTTTTTACTACATTCTGATCTCTGCCCCGTTATATTAGTCTTGATGGTCTTTTTGTCTGTTTAACTTTGTCCAGTATAAGTTATGTTTTGACAGTTCAAATATGATGAGTAACTCAGCACCATCAACAACATGGCCAGGAATCAAATCAACAGGAACCTTTGGTGCATAATCAACAACTAAGTTGAATGACCATCGTCAATGGTTACATCCAGTGGAGGGAACTTGTCCAGAGGTCAATCATTACTCTCTCATTCAACCCCAGGAAAGATTCTACCTTTCAGGTAATTGATCATAAGTTAGTATTACCTGGAGGGCTTTATATTCTCTATGAAGTGTGTAACCACATTTTACAATCAATGAAAGTTTCACCTGTGGAGGAAATCTCCTCTGGATTTCTCAAAGAAGATCTCATTTTTTCTAAGGCTTATTTTATTTATTTATGCATACAAGAGCTGGGATGTAGACCAGAGGTGCAGGGAGTGAGAGGATTCACCACAGAAATAGTGGGGAGCAGAACAGGTGGATCTAGACCAGAGGTGCAGGGGGTGAGAGGATTCACCAGAGAAATAGTGGGGAGCAGAACAGGTGGATCTACTGACATACACAGTTGAGGGGAGCAGTGGGAGAGACAAGAGAGGTCTGCACCATGTGAGCCAGCTCCCTGGCTAGGGATTGAACTTGGGTTGCAGTGGCTGTGGATAGCTTCACAGTGCTGAGGCTTAAGCCCATGCACCATCAGGGAGGCCCACAATCTTATTTTTTAAAATGAAATCAAAGAAGAGAGCCCTCCCTGGTGGTGCAGTGTGTTAAAGCACAGAACTACAAAGCTAAAACCACTTCAGAATGAGTTCAATCCCCGCCCTGGAGGTGATCCACATGGTGCGCCAGACCTCTCCTGAGCTGCCCACTGCTCCTCCTCAACAGTGTGCTTCATCAGTCAGCTTGTTCTGTTCCCCACTCTGTCTCTGGTGAATTTTCTCACCGCCCCTGCACCTCTGGCCTGTACCCCAACTCTGTATGCATAAATAAATAAATATTTTTTAAAAATAAAATCAAAGAAGAAACACACTTAAGAAAATTGAGGCTGAAATGCCTACATAGTAGTGTAAAAATCGATTTCAAAATAAATAGAGGTGTGTTTCCTCTTTATGCTCAACCTTTCTTTTCTTATCTGGTTAAAAACTGAATGTCCAAGGATTCTTCCTCAGTATAATCCAATCTATTGAGACCTCACAAGTCTTCAAGGTTAAAATAATTGTGAAATGCTTTTGATCTGGGCCATAACTGCCAGAAGAATGCCCAGCTTGCCTATAATCAATTCTCCAAATGAGAGGAAACAGAGGTTAAAGCCCCCACCCATTATTACAAAATTTTGATGGTTTTGCTACTTGTTTCAAAAATATGAGACAGAATTAATATCTACTGCAGTAAACTATCTGTTTATGACACTATTTGAAAATATTTACTCTACTATCTGTATCAAGCTCTGCCCATTATAGAGTAAATCTACAGCCAATGGATCAGAATGTAGCTATTACATCCCCTTTTCCAAGCAGGGCACACAATCTATCTTCATGCTCTTCAGAAGTATTATTTACTGTATTCTACAGATGCATGTATAATAAAGTTCTTTCCTTAATCTGCACTCAGTAATTAGATTCCTTCCCCTTACATACAAATTTCCACTTACATGACAATATTTAGAAATGAGATACTGGGTGACTTGTTGGGAGTAAAAATAAAAGTCCTAGTTAGTTATGTGGTTGATTACTTGTAGAATGTTTAACCACAGGAGGTCCTAAAAAGCCTGGTGTTGTAACTTTTGCCAAGTCAGAATTACAAGGGAAAACCTTAGATATTAGGCCTATTGCTTTCCCCGATGAAAAAAATTACAAATACGCATATAAATAAAAAAACATTTCTTCGCAGTACAAAAAATGTTTTTAAATAAGGCATCCAAGTTTGCAGCCTACATTTTTTAAGCAGTGTTACTCATTTGCAGAGCTTTATCATTACATTCCCTTCACATAACACTCTTCACTTTTAGATTAATCTGCTGAAATGAGATGCTAAGGATTTGCATACAGATTTGACTATACAAAAATAGATATGGAATTAATAACAGTCTCTATATGTTTTAATTTCTCCTAGACTGGAGTACCCTTGCCTGCAGCAGTATTTCTGGCTTTGAAAGTCATCAAGCTGATTTGTCTGCTCTGGGTTATGATGCCACATGCTGCTTCACTGCCCCTGCAATCAGAGCTCTTGCAAAGATAGATTCCAGGCCTTCCTCTATCGAGTATATTTTATAGATTGGCAGTTTTGATCTCCCTCCCCGACCCCAGGGGGGGATAATCTGCATCTTAACAGCTTTCTATAGATACATCTGTCATTAAATATGCCATCACATATCAGTATCCATTTTTAAAGCCAAGTTTCCCTTAACTTTGAAGTGCCACAGTCAAAGTTAAGACTTTTCAGCCAAAATTGAAAATGAACAACCCTGTCTGATACTTTTGAACTGTGACTTAAAGATATACTGCAGGTTCCCCCAAAGTCAAATAAGTCTTTAAAAACTGCCAGAAGGAATGAAAAGTTACCACCATGCTACCAGCAGTGAGAAATGCTTTCTATCATCTAGACAAGAGTAAAGCATTTTTCTTAGGCTTCCCTGTTCAACTCCCCACAAAACGCTGTGACAAATGGATGAACGCATCCTGGAGAGAGGATGACAAGTGACTGCCAAACAAGCGACCTCTGTCTCCACTACTGAGAATTCACTGGGTTCCCAAACTCACCGTGTTTAAAAACAACCGGCTAGTGCTGACAGTGTCTATAAAATAGTCTATATAGGAAAATAGCTCTCAACATACACTGATCAGGTCTGCCAGCTCTGCTTTTATTTCAAGAA